TACAGGCGAGGTCAAGTCAATCGAGTTTTTCTTATGGTCTCCTCTGCCTTCAGATGCCTTCTTTCTCGACTCCTCCTCTCCTCTTTCTTCACATTCTTGATCTCTCGGCTCTTCCTATTCTCATTCTTCACATGCCTTTTTCTTTGGTATTCCTCCTTCAGGTCTGATCAGCAACAGTGGGCGGAGTAGCATTTTGGCAGCAGCATTGGAGCACGAGGGTGCACAAGAATAGCACGTGCTTTGAGGACTTTTCTAGTGGTGAGTTTCTGCACCCACCCCTTTCTCTTCTGCACCACACTTGCCTGGCACGCCAATACCCCTTCCATCCCTACACTTCCTGTCCATGTCTCACAGTCCTTTGCCTTCCATGGCCGTTTGTCTCTTCGCGCATCAACACAATTCCGTTGTGACTGAATTCTAACAGAAATGGAACCATAATCTTCAACACTAGCTGACATGCTCGTCTTTTCTGATCTTCTCTTTGTCTCTCATTTGCCCATCGCTCTTTCTCTGCTTCGCTTTGAGTGTATTGTTGACTTCACAGGATTGGATGGTGAGGCAGGGATTGTGTTTGCCTGGTGAAACCAACTGGAGTGGCCAACTGGTGGAGATGTTATCTTGTTTCTGAAGGTGAGAAAAAGGCAACAAAACACAGACGGAACGCAGCATATCCTGTCATATCATATCATATCACATCCTATCCTATCCTATCATATCATATCATATCATATCATATCATATCATATCATATCATATCATATCATATCATATCATATCATATCATATTATGTTAATTGTGTACCCCAATTGGAAAACATTTATAAAATCATATCATATTTCATTTTATCAAATAGGGAAGCCCAACTCTCGTCTGCCTTGCCGCCTCCTCTCGTTTGCTTGCAGGACAACCACGTGCTTGCAGGACGGAAGATGAAGAACAAATATGCTAGAGTATATACCGTAGGTTATCTAGATTAGTAACGCTTTCTGGTATGGTTCCCCCCTCCCCCACCCTCTCCTCCTTGACCCCCCAAAATCCCAACCCACCCACTCCCCCTTACTCCATCCCATCCCATCCCGTCCCCTCTCCTCCAACCCCCCTCCCCCTTCGTAGGCATTTCCCCACATACTCTCTCTCCTCCTCACTGCGTTGCCCCTTCCCATTCCTTCCTCTGCATCCCACCCACCTCCCCCTGCAACCCACCACCCTCTGCAACCTACCACCCCATGTGACCCACCAGCAACCCCCTGCGTAGGCTAGACTAACCACAGTGCTAATCACAGGGCTAATCACAGGTCTAACCACAGGGCTAACCACAGGGCTAACCACAGGGCTAACCACAGGGCTAACCACAGGGCTAACCACAGGGCTAACCACAGGGCTAACCACAGGGCTAACCACAGGGCTAACTACAGGCAGGGCTGACGTTTCGTATTAGGCCCTCCTGATTCTGGGGAAAAATTTTCCCCTCGATTATGAGTGCACATTTTTCATAATGATGCTACCCTGATCGCTCAGGGTTGAAAAGTATATAACTCTGATTGTTCAAGGTCGAAAATCGAAGTTCAGAGTAGTAACGCGCTCTTTATTACAGGGGAAAAAGCACTGCTCTGCGTAAAGTGCGCTCTGTGTTTCGCGCACACTTTGAGCGCGCTAATTTCCAACCGTTTAGTTTTACAAAATAGTATTTATCCATACGTTGCGGGGAAGGGATGAGCGATTTTGGTCAACAAAACATTTCGATTCGATACCACAGATGTGCCAAATTTTAAATTCGCCGAGTACCTAAATGTCGTCAACATCGCTGTACGAAACGCAAAAAAGTGCTGGTAACTTCACGCACACGCAATTACGACCGAACAACAACTTCCTCGCACTTTGTGAAAATAACTAATATCGAGTGTATTTGCCTGTCAGACATGCTGCTGTCCGTCGCTCACGCGCTGGCTATACTGCGATCAATTCGAAGGGGGATTATCGGAACGAAATTTCCGAGAAACTTCCTACCGATAAGGTCAGATTCAAAGTCCACAGAACGCGTACTCTACATTGACAGAGTCAGTAAGAACACTACTCTGAGCCTAGATACAATATTTCAGGGTTCGCTAAAGCACTATTCTGAATGGATCAGTGTTCACAAGTCAGAAATTCTGAAATTGCAGGGACCACCAAGTGAGAAGCCTGTAATCACCCTGAAATCAGGGTAATTACCCTGATAAAATCAGCCCTGACTACAGGGCTAACCGCCTGCCTAGTGCGTGGCATACTAGTTACAGGGCTTGTGCCTCTTGGCACGCTAGTGACAGAGATGATGCATGGGATACTCATTCACAAGGCCTCTTACCAGAACACTAACCGAAGCCATGTGAACATAGTGTCCACAAGCCATGTGGATATGGACACTATAGCCACAGGGTGTATGCAGCATAGTATGCTAACCACAGGGCCAGTTCATGTCAAAACATATGCATATTAGTATCTAGGCTATATTGGGGCTAGCCTTAAGGGGTACAGAAACTCACTCGACACTCTAGTCTTGTACCCCAACCTCCACCTAATGACACACATACTCTTTTCGTTCTAACATGGCATCAGAAGCCTAGGTTAGGAACCTAGGACCACCTTGTACTAAGGGCCCGCCCTTCCGCTAGCGCCCTCGAGCGCCTTCTTCCTTTCGTGCGCCCTCGCGCGCCTCGTTTCCTGGTCGCGTAGCCCGCTAGACGACCGCGCGCGGCCCCCTTTTTGCCCGCGCGCGGCCTCGTTTTTTGCCCGCTAGCAGCCTGCGCGCGGCCCGAATCGCGTGCGCGACGACCATAGGCCGCTCGCGCGGCTCGATCCGCCCACGAGCAGGTCGCTAGCCGCCCGTCGGCCCGCCCGTAGGGCTTCGCGTCGCCCGTAGGCCGCCGCCCCTGCTTTCGTAGCCGCTGCCTGCGCGCGAGTGCAGCCCACGCCCGACCGCTCGCCCCTAGGACGGCGCTCGTAACGCCGCCGCCCGCCCGCAGGTCGCAGCCCGCGCGCAGTGGCGATCGCGCGTCGGCTGCTGCAGCTCGCGCTTAGCTGCAGCTCGTGCTTAGCTGCAGCAGGACCCCAGCCGCGGCCTGCACGCAACTGCAACCCTAGGCGCCGCCGCGCACCGTGCATAGGCCCGCCGTTGCGCTGCCCTACCTGCCCGAGCCGCGCCGCCCTGACTGAGCCTACTGTTTAGGGTTTAGGGTTTTGCAGCACCTACTGTCCCTGTTCCTGCTGTTACAGCTGTTCTTCTCACTACAGTTGTTCCTACTACTGCTCTTACTGCCGCTACTGCCACTATGGCTACACCCACAGTTCTCTCTTTCGATGCTGAGGGCCGTCCGCTCCAGTTTGATGCTTGGCTTGACGATCTCCACCTTTTCCTCCAGATCACCGCTAAGGATGACGTCTCGCTGTATGACCACGCGTCCGGAACCGCTCTCGCACCTGCTGACACTGCTGACAGTACAGCTCGCTCCCAGTGGCAGACTCGTGACGCCCACGCTCGCCTAGCCATTCGCAGCCACCTGCCGTTAGATGAGCGCGCGCACTTTGGCCAGCACAAGACTGCTAAGGAGCTGTACGATGCAGTAGTCGCCCGCTACTCCTCACCTGCCTCCGCTACGATAGGCCGTCTCTCTCTGCCCTATCTTTTCCCCGATCTCGCCGCCTTTCCCACAGTCGCTGACCTCATTACACACCTCCGCACCAGTGACACTCGCTTCCGAGCCGCCCTCCCTGCTGAGTTTCTCGCCAAGAACCCCCCACCGATGTACCTCGTTCTCTACCACCTAGTCACCCGTCTCTGTCAGAATGTGATGGTTGTCTAGCCTGCAGTGGGGTACTCTATAGCGAGTACAGCCCTTATAGGGTTTGCATATATGTATCCCTATGCTTGTTAGTCAAAACCCTTCTTGCCTGTTTCTCGTTTTGGCCTAGCATTTTGACATGCTATCAGAGCGGGTCGACCCTCCTGGGTCGATCCTGTGGGTGGTCCCACCAGAAGCTTCCGCTGTTGTTTCCTGCTGTTTCCTGCCTGCCGCGCGCTCCGGGCGCGCAGCGATTGGCGCGCGGCGGTTTTCTGCCCCGTCACTCGGCGCGTCGCCCCCGGGAGGCGCTGCGACGGGCGACGGGGACCCGCGCGTCGCCCCCCGTCGCCCGTCGTGGCCTGCGCGCGGCCCGTACAGCCGGCGCGCGGCCCGTACGGGCTGCGCCAGGCCCGCGCGCGGCCCGTACGGGCTGCGCCAGGCCCGCGCGCGGCCCGTACGGGAAGCGCCAGGCCCGCGCGCGGCTCGGGCCGCCTGCGCGCGGTTCGGGCGGCTATGCCAGGCCCGTGGGCGGCCCGTTCCTCGCTGCCCCTGCCCTCCCCACTGTCCCCCGTGCTTCTACTGGCGCCCCACCCCTCCTACAGCCCGTTCTCCTGAATTAGGGTTTGGGGGTGAGGGGTATGGGGGTGAAGCCACTGAGTGCCGTTCCCCTCCTCCTCCTCCTTCTCCGTCTCCCACTGCTGCAGCTGCCGCTGAGGGGGGTGGGTGTGTGGGAGCCGAGGGAGTGGCGCTAGGGGGTGTAGTGTGAGCGGTGCTAGGGGAACAGCAGGGGGTGTGTAAAAAGGGGGTGGGACAGCTGGGGGAAGTTGAGAGGAGGCCGTCGACTTGTCGTCCGCAGCGCCTGAAGTCCAGGGAGCCACGACCCCCTGTGGCCTGAGTAGTCCGGGGCTCTGCGCCCGGTAGCTACAGTGTGTGCACTCCTGGGAGCACAGCGAGCCAGCTGCGACCCCCTGTCGCCGTGTAGTCCAAGTTTAGCCTGGTAGCGTCAGTGCGGCGTACTCCTGCTGCCTGTGTGTCTGCAGCTTCAGCCGTCGCCTCTCATCTTCTTGCTCCCACAGTTTCTCCTCCTCCTCACTTGCCCTCTGTGATAGCCTCTAGCTTTGCTTATAATTGTGAACTATTGCTCTGTCTGCTTGTTATGTTGATTGTACCCCACTTTGACTATGGGGGTGTGTCAGAATGTGATGGTTGTCTAGCCTGCAGTGGGGTACTCTATAGCGAGTACAGCCCTTATAGGGTTTGCATATATGTATCCCTATGCTTGTTAGTCAAAACCCTTCTTGCCTGTTTCTCGTTTTGGCCTAGCATTTTGACCGTCTCCCTGACTCTCTTCGCGCAGTCAGGGACCACTTTCTCGCCCTCTGCCCTACCGAGCTCACCATTGACCTGCTCGAGAAGCATCTGCTTGCAGCTGAGGCTAGTATAGTTGCTGTAGGTGCCTCTCGTGGCGACCCCCGCACGCCCTTCTTCGACGGGTGTTCCCCTTCCCCCCTTCTCCCCTCGGTTGCCTCTGCTGCCGCTGTCGACTTCCTCGGTGCTGAGGACGTCGGGGCTGCGTCTGCTCCTAGCTGGAGGCGCAAGAGCGGCAAGGGCAAGGGGGGCAAGGGTGGCGGCGGTACCAGTGGGGGAGGTGGGGGTGGCGGTGGAGGTGGTGGGGGTGGTGGCGGTGGTGGGGGTGGTGGCGGGGCTGGGGGGGTCAGTGGCAGCGGGGGGGTGGCAGCGGCGGGGGTGGTGGCGGCAGTGGTGGTGGGGGAGGCCGGGGTGGAGGTGGTGGTGGTGGCGGCAGTGGGCGTGGTGGCGGCGGCTCGGGTGGTGGTCGGGGTGGACCAGCGCAGCGTGGAGGCTCGGGTGGTGCCCAGCGCCAGCAGCAGCGTCTTGGAGAGACCCCGTCGTCCCAGCAGCTTCGTGAGTGGTACTCTCAGCATGGGGGGTCTGGGGGTGGAGGCACCTGCACGTATGTCATCCGCACCGGTGACCGCGCTGGTCAGACGTGTGGGCGTTTCCACACGCCGCACCGCTGCTTCTTTCGTCTAGACGATGCCTGGCGTGCACAGTTCCCGGAGGCCTCTGAGCTGCCCCGCTGGGCTGATCTGCTTAAAAAGAACATTGATGTATTTGCACTTGACTTTGATGTTATTCTTGGAGCCATGTATGCATTGACTATTAGTGTTGAGGGTGACTGTTACTTGTGTGTGCCACCAGACCCAGGCATTGCGACCAGTGAGGCTGCCGCTCTAGGTGCTAGTGCGTCCGCTGCCCCAGGTCCTGGTGAGACAACTGCTCTAGGTGCAGGTGTGTCTGCTGCCCCAGGTGCTTGTGAGGCTGCGCCTTCAGGTACAGCGTCTACTGCGGCACTGCACACCTTCACCCTGGACTCAGGTGCTTCCCGCTGTTTCTTTCGCGACCGCACTGCCCTCGAGCAGCTTCCTAGACCGGTTGCTGTCTCCCTGGCTGACCCCTCCGGGGGTCCGGTTCTTGCGACCTCCTCCACTGTCCTCCCGTGTCCTGCGGTCCCGTCTGGCACCCTGTCAGGTCTTTACCTCCCCTCGTTCTCTACGAACTTGGTGGCGGGCTCTGCTCTACAGGACGGGGGTGTTCACCAGTTCACCCCTGCCTATGAGCGTGTGACCCACTGTACGTGTGCCCGGACGGGTCGCCACCTTGCTACCTTCACTAGGGAGCCGGGGTCGGACTTGTACACACTGACCACTGAGTCCCCTCAGGTCGCTGCGTCTGCGTCTGCGTCAGGTCAGCTGTCGGCCCCCTGCTTGTGTCGCTCCCTGTCCCACCAGACTGTCCTCTGGCACCACCGCCTTGGTCACCCGTCAGTGCAGCGCCTTCGCGGCATGCACCGTCGCCTCCTTGTCTCTGGTCTTCCCCGGGTTCTCCCTCCCCTCCCACCCTCGCCTGCGCCTCCCTGTCTTCCCTGTGTCGAGGGGCGGCAGCGCGCCGCTCCTCACTCCTCCGAGTTTCCCCCGACAGAGGCTCCTCTGCAGACACTCCACATGGACGTGTGGGGCCCCGCCCGCGTCCGTGGACAGGGCGGGGAGCGCTACTTTCTGCTGGTAGTTGACGACTACACGCGTTACACCACGGTCTTCCCCTTGCGCACCAAGGGTGAGGTCCCTGATGTCTTGATCCCTTGGATCCGCGCTACCCGTCTCCAGCTGGAGAGGCGCTTTCGCTCGGACCTTCCAGTCCTGCGACTGCACTCTGATAGAGGTGGTGAGTTTTCCTCCGACCTCTTGAGAGCCTTCTGTCAGGGGGAGGGCATTGAGCAGACGTTCACGCTTCCGGCCTCTCCGCAGCAGAATGGGGTTGCTGAGCGCCGCATTGGCCTGGTCATGGAGGTCGCTCGTACCTCCTTGGTCCATGCGGCTGCCCCCCACTTTCTGTGGCCGTTTGCGGTACGGTACGCCGCGCATCAGCTCAACCTCTGGCCCCGTGTCTCTGACCCGGACACCTCGCCGACACTGCGTTGGACGGGAGAGGTTGGCGATGCGTCGGTGTTTCGAGTCTGGGGATCTCGTGCCTTTGTCCGCGATGCGTCCGCGGACAAGCTCTCCTCCCGTACCCTCCCCTGTGTCTTCCTTGGCTTTGTCCCTGACGCGTCTGGCTGGCAGTTTTACCACCCTGCCTCGCGCCGTGTCTTCCCTTCTCAGGACGTCACGTTTGACGAGTCGGTTCCCTTCTACCGTCTCTTCCCCTACCGCACTGCCCCGCTCCCCCCTCCGCCGCTCTTCCTCACTCCAGGTGCTGCTGTGGTAGACCCCCTGCCTCCCCAGGGTCCTGCTCCCTCAGGTGTTTCCCAGGTAGACCCGGTCGAGCCTGTCGAGGTAGCTGTCGACTCTGGTCCTGCGCGAGGTACTGAGCCTGAGCGTGCCGAGCCTGGTGGTGCTGGGTCTGGTGGTACCGAGACTCTTAGAATCTTATACTAGGAAGAAGTGGTTGGATTAGGTCAAGGGGGGGGTACAAGAGAGAATGTCGAGAGAATTTCTGTACCCCCTAGTGCTACCCCACTACAGCCTAGATAAAACTAACATGCATATATAGTTTGACACACCCCCATAGGCAAAGTGGGGGAGAACAAGGGGTCACAAGACCTGTCAAGAGAAGCAAAGCACGCTCAGGGTGGATCACAACGTCACCACACACTCTGAGCACAAGTAAAGGGCCACAAGGCCAGTCCGCATGCAGGGATATATATGTGACAAGAACAGTACAGTGATCCCTACCAAGCAAGAACAAGCATGCAGGTATATAGATATATAGATCACAGTACAAGCAAAGCCTACAGCAAGTGTGGAAACGTAGGCACAAGGCCTAACAAAGTACAAAAACGCTGATGATCACCAGACGGAAGTGCCTTGGTGAATATATCAGCAGTGTTGGCCCGAGTGGCCACGTGTGCAAGACGAAGCTGACCACGCTGCTGCAACTCTCGAGCCAGGAAGTACCGCAGAGCAATGTGCTTCGTTCTGTGCTCCAGTCTGTGCTCCTCACACAAGGCAATGGCAGCCTTGTTGTCGACGTACAGAACTGGAGGAGAACGAGGCCTCTCTCCCAAGTCGGTCAGCAGGTAGGTGAGCCAGCGTAACTCCTGAGCAGCCATGGCTGTGGCGTAGATCTCAGCCTCACAACTGGAGCTGAGAACAGAAGACGAGCGAGTAGAACGCCAGGAAACAGAACCAGAGCCAAGACTGAAAGTGTAACCCTGTGACGACCTCTGCGTAGCCTGGTCGTCAACCCAAGAAGCGTCTGAGTGCCCAGTGAGGACCACCTCTCGCTGTCCTCCAAGCACGAGCCCCATGCCCGATGTACTGCACAAGTAGCGTAGTACCCTCTTCGCAGCATCCCAGTGCACCTTTCGGTGCCGACCAGGAGCCACGTAGCGAGCCAGAAGGCCAAGAGGGTATGCAAGGTCAGGACGAGTGCAAGTCATCAGGTACATGAGGCAGCCCACTAGCTCTGGGTAAGGACCACTCGGCTCTACGGACTCGTCCGAAGGTGGAGCTGAGAGTGAGTGACCTGTAGCCAGAGGAGTGGACTGTGGTGAGGACCAGGTGAAGCCGAAACGCTGAAGGACCTGCTGCACCATGTGTGACTGAGTCAGGGTGATGGTGCGGCGTGCTCTGTCCCGGGTGATCTGCAAGCCAAGGTAGCTGCGCAGCTCACCCAGGTCTGTGCACGTGTGTCTCTTCTGCAGCTCGGACTTCACCTGGGCGAGGGCCTCAGTGTCAGCAGTAGCAAAGACCAAGTCGTCGACGTACACAAGGATATAGAACGGCGGCAGCGAAGTGTCTGTGCGCAGAAACAGTGACGGGTCAGCAGTCGAAGGCGCAAACCCAAGTGCCGCAAGTGTAGTCCTCAGTGTGTCGTGCCACTCACGGGGTGCCTGGCGGAGACCGTAGACTGGCCGGCGGAGGCTCCACTGAGTACCAGGAGGGAACGACCCAGTGAAGCCAGGTGGACGGCGTAGCCAGATCTCCTCGTGCAGGCTGCCCTGTAGGAAAGCGGTACTGAAGTCAAGGGAGTGTAGCTCGTAGTCACGCTGAGCGGCAACGTGCAGCAGCACCCGAAGAGTAGTCATCTTTGGGGTGGGGGAGAAGGTCTGGAAGAAGTCAACTCCCTCTCGCTGACTGAAGCCTCGAGCAACGTAACGAGCCTTGAAGACAGGCGGGGAACCCGGCGGCCGCTTCACCCTGAAAATCCACATGCCATCGACGATGTTCGCCCCGGGAGGGGGAACCTCATCGACGTAAGTGCCTGTGGACTTCCAGGATGCCATCTCTGCGTCCATGGCTGCCTGCCACTGAGAGGAGTACTCACCCGCGATCGCCTCAGCGTAAGAGCGCGGTGTGGGGATGTCTATAGCATCCGGGTCTCCCTCAGGGGCAAGCAGCATGGCCACGAGATGAGGCGCAGCGGCTGCAAGACACTCAAGGTCCTCGTGCCTATCCTCAAGGACGTCCGTGCTAAGAGCACACTCACCCCCGACGGACGGAGGACAGACAGACTCAGACTCAGCAACAAGGCTAGCAGCGTAGTCTAGACGACAGGCAGCCGCAAAGTCAACAAGCTCAGCCACCAAAGCAGACGCAGCAGCAGACTCAAACGAGGGGTCAGTGACAACAGTGGCGAGCAGACGCGTGACAGTAGGGTGCTCAGCACGAAACCGGTCAGACTCAGGGTCCGGAACGTGAGGCTGGGAAGACGCAGGGGGAGACGGCAGAGAAACAGACTGTGGACCAGAGGAAGGACGACGGACGACAAGGCGTGCGGTGGGGACAGGCGGCGTACGCGGACGCGGAACACGACGAGTGGAACTACTAGGACGAACAGGCGAGACAGGACGCGACGCAGGCTCACGGCGCGCAGTAAGACCCCCTGACTGCTCAGTGTAAGGAGAGGGAGCAGGCAGCGGCGAGCCAGGCAGTAACGGAAGACCAGTAGAAGACGGAAGACTAAGAACCTGGCGAAGCACAGAGTCAGGGGGCGGCTGAGACGACGGAGACGGCGGAGCGAAGAACAGGCGCGGCTGTGCAGGACCAGCAGCACCAGTAGCTCCAGCACCTCCAGAAACTCCAGCACCCCCAGCACCAGCTCCTCCAGGACCAGCTCCACCAGTAGCAGCACCCCCAGAACCGGCACCCCCAGTCCCAGGGTCTCCAGTCGCAGTGTCCCCAGTAGCGGCAACCCCAGAAACGGTACGCCCAGCCCCAGCAGCTCCAGGACCGCCAGCAGTAGAGCCCCGGGCTCCAGTAGTGCGACCCTGACGGCGACCGTACCAGTCGTGCAGCTGCTGGGAGGTGAGAGGCACACGCGGACGAAGGCGGCCACTCCAAGGGGACCGCACACCAGCAGGCTCAGCACCCTCAGACCCAGTACCTCCAGGCTCAGCACCCCCAGACTCAGCACCCCCAGAAACCTCACACGTAGGCTCCGCACCTCCAGGCTCCGCACGTCCAGGCTCCGCACCTCCAGGCTCCGCACCTCCAGGCTCCGCACCTCCAGACTCCTCACACGCAGGCACAGTACCCCCAGGCTCCGCACCTCCAGGCTCCTCACGCACTGGCTCAGCACTCCCAGACGCAGCACCTCCAGGCTCCTCACGCGTAAGCTCCGCACCCCCAGGCTCAGTACCCCCAAGCTCCCCACCCCCAGGCCCAGTACCCCCAACGACAGCACCACCTCCAGCAGGACCGGAGTCACCAGTGACCTCAACAGGTGCAGGCACGGGAGGGTCTACCTGAGAAACACCTGAGGGAGCAGGACCTGGTGCGGGGAGGGGGTATACCTGGGGAGAACCTGGAGCGAGGAAGAGCGGCGGGGGGGTGCGAGGAGAAGTACGGTAGGGAAAGAGACGGTAGAAGGGAACGGACTCGTCAAAGGTGACGTCCTGAGACGCAAAGACACGGCGCGAGGTGGGCTCGTAGAACTGCCAGCCAGGCGCGTCAGGAACAAAGCCAAGGAAAACACAGGGAATGGCACGAGCGGAGAGCTTGTCCGCAGTAGTATCGCGGACAAACGCACGAGCACCCCAGACCCGGAAACGCGACGCATCACCAACCTTCCCCGTCCACAGCAGTGTGGGCGAGGTCTCCGGCAGGGAGACACGGGGCCAGAGGTTGAGCTGATGCGCTGCGTACCGGACAGCAAACGGCCACAGAAAATGGGGAGCCGCCGCATGGATCATGGAGGTACGAGCGACCTCCATGACTAAGCCAATGCGGCGCTCAGCAACCCCATTCTGCTGTGGAGAGGCCGGAAGCGTGAACGACTGGGTGATGCCGTGCTCCGCACAGAAGGCTCGCAGGAGGTCGGAGGAGAACTCACCACCTCTATCAGAGTGCAGACGCAAGACAGGAAAGTCCGACTGGAACCGCTCGCGAAGCTGGAGACGAGCAGCGCGGATCCAGGGGATCAAAACAGCAGGGACGTCCCCCTTGCTGCGCAAGGGGAAGACCGTGGTGTAGCGCGTGTAGTCGTCAACTACCAGCAGGAAGTACCGCTCACGGCCCTGTCCCTGGACGCGGGCCGGGCCCCACACGTCCAGGTGGAGAGTCTGCAGTGGAGCCTCTGTGGGAGGAAACGAGGAGGAGTGAGGAGCGGCGCGCTGCCGCCCCTCGACGCAGGGAATGCAGGGCGGCGCAGGCGAGGGAGGGAGGGCAGGGAGAGACCTGGGAAGGCCAGAGACCAGGCAACGAGAGTGCATGCTACGAAGGCGAGGCAGGGAGGGGTGACCAAGGCGGTGGTGCCACAGGAGAGTGTCGTGGGACAGGCGGCGGCACTCACACTGGGTAGCAACCTGAGCAGACGCGTACAGCTGTGGAGACAAAGGAGTGGAGCGTGAAACAATAGTGAGGGTGTACAGACTAGACCCTGGCTCACGTGTGAACGTGGCCAGGTGGCGGCCGGTCTTGGAGCATGTACAGATCGCCACACGCTGTCCTCCAGGAGTCCAGGTGTCAACCCAGTGATCCTGAAGGACGGCGTTGCTCACCAGGTTCGTAGAGAACGAGGGAACATGGAGACCAGACAGCTCACCAGACGGGACCGCTGGGCACGGAAGCACAGTCGCGGCCCGTGCAAGCACTGGACCCCCAGAGGGGTCAGCCAGTGAGACAGGAACAGGTGCAGGGAGAGGGGTGACAGTGGTGCTGTCACGAAAGAAACAGCGCGAAGCACCAGAGTCAAGTGTGAACGTGTGCAAAGCCTGAGCGAACGCAGTACCAGGGAGCACAGACTCACTAGCACCTAGGGCTGCAGTCTCTATACCTGGGTCAGGCGGCACACACAAGTAACAGTCACCCTCAGCACTAACAGTCAATGCATACATAGCAGCAAGAATAGCATCATAGTCTAGATCAAAGATAGGAACACCACGCCTAAGCAGATCTGCCCAGTTGGGGAACTCAGTAGCATCAGGATACTTTGCGCGCCAGGCGTCACTAAGCCTAGCGAAGCAGCGGAACTCGGTGTGAAAACCGTCGCAGGTGCGACCCTGGCGGGGACCTGTGCGAATGACATAGGGGCAGCGGTCAGAGCCCCTAGACGCCCCACGCCCAGCATACCAGTCATGGAGCTGCTGGGAGGTGGGAGGCGGACGCTGCTGCTACTGCTGCTGCTGCTGCTGCTCCTGCGGCTGCTGCTGCTGCTGCTGCTGCTGGCCGCCACCAGCGCCACCCTTCTGGCCATAGCCACCCCCACCCCCACCTCCACCACCAGTGCCGCTGCCTCCTCCCCCACCACCTCCGCTGCCGCCACCACCGCCCCCGAACCTGCCACCACCCCACCCACCACCTCCACCCCCACGGCCACCCTCACCACCTCCGCCACCCCCGCCACCTCCACCACCGCCCCCACCGCCGCCACCTCCGCCACCCCTGCCCCCCTTGCCCCCCTTGCCTCCGCCGCGCTTCCCACCAAGAGTAGAAGCGGCGTGGACCTTTTCAGCGCCGAGAAGGTCAACAGCAGCAGCAGCAGAGGCATAGGAGGGGGTAAGAGGGGAGGGGGAGCATCCCTCAAAGAGGGGAGTGCGGGGAGTGCCACGAGCAGCATTCACAGCAAGAATGTTCTTCTCAGCTGCAACTAGCTGCTGCTCGAAGTCATCTAGGGTGATGGTGGGAGGATCTTTAGCGAGGAAATAGTCCCTAACGGAACGGAGCGTGTCGGGAAGGCGGGTGACTAGGATGTAGAGGGTAAAGTACAGGGGGGGTTTGTTCTCGGCGAGGAACTCGTCAGAGAGAGCGGCACGAAAGCGAGCGTCACTAGTGCGGAGGTGAGAGATGAGGTCTGCAGCAGTGGAAAACGAGGCGAGGTCGGGGAAAAGGTAGGGTAGGATGAGGCTACCAACGGCGGCAGTGGCTGGGGCGGAATAGCGGGCAACTACAGCGTCAAACAAGTCCTTAGCAGTCTTAAGCTGGTTGAAGTGTGCGCGCTCGGAGATAGGCAGGTGGTTGCGAATAGCTAGGCGGGCAAGGGCATCACGGGTCTACCATTCAGCGCGGTCAGAGGCAGGAGCAGTAGCAGCGGGAGCAGGGGCAGTGCCATTGACATAGTCTAGCAGGGAGGCTCCGTCCTTGGTATTGGTCAAAAGGTAAAGCTGCAGGTCACTGAGCCAGGTGTCAAACTGAACAGGACTACCGTGAGGCTCAAACTCGAGAACAGAAATGGTTGCCATGGTCACAGGGCGGGTAAATGCAGCAGGCACAGGCTCAGGCTCAGGCTCAGGTGAAAGTCTTGAGGGTAAGGCAGTTCTTAAGGCAGGCAGGCGCTCAAGGCAGGGCACAGGCAGGGCAGGGCACGCGCGGCTGCGAGCTGCGCGCGGGATAGGACAGCGCGGCGCGGGCTGCTCGGGCAGTGCGCGAGCCACACGCGGGTTCTGCAAGCTGCGCGTGGGCTGCGCGCGGCTCGGCGCGGGCTGCGCGGGCTCGACGCGGGCTGCGCGGGCGGTGCGCGGGGCAGCTGCAGGCCGCGTGCGGGCTGCGCAGGCTCAGGGCGGGCTGCGCGGGCTCAGGGCGGGCTGCGCGGGCGTCTAGGAGAGCGGGACGCGGGTGGCAGCAGTAGCGCGCGCTAAAAAAAAAAGGCTATGCGCGGGCTCAGCCGAGGCGCGCGCGGGTAGCAGGCAAGGCTAAGAAGGAGTAGGTGGGGTAACACTGTAACCGGTGGGCCCAAATCTTAGGTCCTAAGACCTAAAGCTCTAGATACCATCTTAGAATCTTAGACTAGGAAGAAGTGGTTGGATTAGGTCAAGGGGGGGGTACAAGAGAGAATGTCGAGAGAATTTCTGTACCCCCTAGTGCTACCCCACTACAGCCTAGATAAAACTAACATGCATATATAGTTTGACACCCCGAGACTGGGGGTGCTGAGCCTGGGGGTGTGGAGACTGGGGGTGCTGAGCCTGGGGGTGTGGAGACTGGGGGTGCTGAGCCTCGGGGTGCTGCCGCTGGGGGTGCTGAGCCTGAGGGTGCTGACACTGGGGGTGCTGCGCCTGGGGGTGCTGACACTGGGGGTACTGAGCCTGGGGGTGCTGTGCCTGGGGTTACTGAGCCTGGGGGTGCTGCGCCTAGAGGCACTCTTTCTTCCTTGGAGCTGCGTGAGTGGTACTCTCGGTACTGCCGCCGCCACAGTGGTACTGTGGGAGCTGGGAGTACTGTTGACACTGGAGCTGAGGGCGCTGGAGCTCCTGGTGCTGGTGTGGCTGCCGACCCTGGGGTTGGCGCTGGAGGTGCTGGAGCTGCTGGGCCTGGAGGTGCTGCTGGAGCTACTGGAGGAGCGAGTGCTGCTGGAGCTGGAGGTGCAGGTGCTGACGGTGCTGCTAGAGCTGGTGCTGAGTCTGGGGGTGTTGCTGCTGGGGACACTTCGACAGGAGACCCTGGGACTACAGGTGCCGGCTCTGGGGGTGCTCCTGCTAGTGACGCTGGTCCTGGAGGTGCTGGAGCTGCTGGAGGTGGTGGAGCTGCTGGTGCTGGGGGCACTGCGCAGCCACGACTGTTCTTTGCTCCGCCGTCTCCGTCGTCTCTGCCACCGCCTGACTCTGCTCTTCGTCAGGTTCTTACCCTCCCGTCGTCTACTGGTCTTCCGTTACAGCCTGGCTCACCACTGCCTGCCCCTTCTCCTTACACTGAGCAGACAGGAGGTCTTGCTGAGCGTCGTGAGCCTGCGTCTCGTCCTGCGTCGCCTGTTCGCACTGCTCGCACTAGTCCTCGTGTCCCACGTCCGCGTCCTCCTCCTGTCCCTGGCACGCACCAGATGACACTTCGTCCGTCCACTGCTCCACAGCGTGTTCCACTGCCGTCCCCCCCTGCGTCTTCTCTGCCTGACGTTCCAGACCCTGAGTCTGACCGTGTACGTGCTGCTCACCCTACTGTCACGCGTCTCCTGGCCACTGTTGTCACTGACCCTTCCTTTGAGTCCGCTGCTGCGTCTGCCTTAGTTGCTGAGCTTGTCGACTTTGCTGCTCACTGTCGTCTAGACTACGCCGCGAGTCTAGTTGCTGAGTCTGAGTCTGTCTGTCCTCCGTCCGTCGGGGGTGAGTGTGCTCTTGGCACGGACGTCCTTGAGGACAGGCAGGAGGAGTTTGAGTGCTTTGCCGCTGCTGTACCTCATCTCGTGTCCATGCTGATTGCACCTGAGGGAGACCCGGATGCACCAGACATCCCGACCCCGCGCTCTTACGCTGAGGCGATCGCGGGTGAGTACTCCTCTCAGTGGCAGACAGCCATGGACGCAGAGATGGCATCCTGGAAGTCCACTGGCACCTACGTCAACGAGGTTCCCCCTCCTGGGGCGAACATCGTCAGTGGCATGCGGATTTTCAGGGTGAAGCGGCCGCCAGGTTCTCCGCCTGTCTTCAAGGCTCGTTACGTTGCTCGAGGCTTCAGTCAGCGAGAGGGAGTAGACTTCTTCCAGACCTTCTCCCCCACCCCGAAGGTGACCACTCTTCGGGTGCTGCTGCACGTTGCCGCTCACCGTGACTACGAGCTTCACTCTCTTGACTTCAGCACAGCTTTCTTGCAGGGCAGCCTGCACGAGGAGATCTGGCTGCGCCGCCCCCCGGGCTTCACTGGGTCGTTCCCTTCTGGTACCCAGTGGAGCCTCCGGCGGCCAGTCTACGGTCTCCGCCAGGCGCCTCGTGAGTGGCACGACACACTGAGGACTACACTTGCGGCACTTGGGTTTGCTCCCTCCACAGCTGACCCGTCGCTGTTTCTGCGCACCGACACTTCACTGCCGCCGTTCTACATCCTCGTGTACGTCGACGACTTGGTGTTTGCCACTGCGGACACTGAGGCTCTCGCCCACGTGAAGTCGGAGCTGCAGAAGAGACACACGTGCACAGACTTGGGTGAGCTGCGCAGCTACCTTGGCTTGCAGATCACCCGGGACAGAGCACGCCGCACCATCACCCTGACTCAGTTACACATGGTGCAGCAGGTCCTTCAGCGCTTCGGCTTCACCTGGTCTTCAGCACAGGCCACTCCTCTGGCTACAGGTCATTCGCTCTCAGCTCCACCTTCGGACGAGTCCGTAGAGCCGAGTGGTCCTTACCCAGAGCTAGTTGGCTGCCTCATGTACCTGATGACTTGCACTCGTCCTGACCTCGCGTACCCTCTTGGTCTTCTGGCTCGCTACGTGGCTCCTGGTCGGCACCGACCTGAGCACATGGCTGCTGCTAAGAGGGTACTGCGCTACTTGTGCAGCACATCAGGCATGGGGCTAGTGCTTGGAGGGACGAGCCCAGTTGTTCTCACTGGGCACTCAGACGCTTCTTGGGTTGACGACCAGGCTACTCAGCGGTCGTCACAGGGTTACACCTTCAGCCTTGGCTCTGGTTCAGTTTCGTGGCGTTCTACACGCTCGTCTTCAGTTCTCAGCTCCAGTTGTGAGGCTGAGATCTACGCCACAGCCATGGCTGCACAGGAGTTGCGCTGGCTCACCTACCTGCTGACTAACTTGGGAGAGCAGCCTCGTTCTCCTCCAGTGCTGTACGTCGACAACAAGGCCGCCATTGCCTTGTGTGAGGAGCACAGACTGGAGCACAGAACAAAGCACATCGCTCTGCGTTACTTCCTGGCTCGAGAGCTGCAGCAGCGTGGTCAGCTTCGTCTGCGTCACGTGGCCACTCGGGCCAACACTGCTGATATATTCACTAAGGCGCTTCCGTCTGGTGATCATCAGCGTTTCTGCACTTTGCTAGGGCTTGTGCCCACATTTCCTCACTTGCTGTAGGCCTTGCATGTACTGTGATCTAATATATATATATATATATATATATATATATATACCTGCATGTTTGCATTGCTAGGTAGAGATCACTGTGCTGTTCTTGCTGCTTATATACCTCTGCATGTGGACTGGCCTTGTGGCCGTTTGTTTGTGCTCAGTGTGTGTGGTGACGTTGTGATCCACCCTGAGCCGTGTTTTGTTTCTTCTCTTGACTGGTCTTGTGACCATTGCTTGCTCTGGCTATCCCCCATTTCGCCTATGGGGGTGTGTCAAAACATATGCATGTTAGTATCTAGGCTATATTGGGGCTAGCCTTAAGGGGTACAGAAACTCACTCGACACTCTAGTCTTGTACCCCAACCTCCACCTAATGACACACATACTCTTCTCGTTCTAACAGTTCATTATGGCAGGCTCCCTACAAGGCGAATCACAAATGTGACCACAGGGCTCATCTCAGGGCCAACCACAGGGCAAACCACAGGGGTAATAACAGGGCTCAATCAAAGAGCTTGTGTATTGTGGCACACTAATCGGAGGACAAGCTTGAGCTGCACAGCTGTGGTGTCTTTAGGGTCAGCAGGACCCCTGCAAAAATATGCCACGACGCCGTACAACATAGCCAAAAAGTTGCTGGCTCTGCTTGCCAGTGCCAGACCTTGCTGGCAAAAAAATGCCGATATATCTGTAGAGTGAGAAATGCGTAGGTTAGAGATGGATTGTCGTGCACCAAGTGAGGCTGCAGACATGAGACTCACCACATGGAGGTTGTAGTCGTGGAAAATGCAATACATTGAAATGTACATCCCTAAGAGGATTGAAGCTCGTTGGCAGAGAAGCTCCTTCTGAGGCGCGAATTTCTAAATTCTTGATGCTGCAATGGTGGTGGCGGCTGTGCTGAAAAGCACACAGTTACGACTGTCACGTTGTCACCAGAATCTCTCCGAATGGCCTCCTGCACCAGTTCCTGAAGAAAAAAACATTCATGTGATTGGAGGAAGAAACCGTCACTAAAGCCTGAATGCTTAGTGCCAGGGAATCAGAAATGCATAGCGAGCCAAAAAGTAAGGCAAGGGAGTTGCAACGCAGCACAGACCTGTGAGCATTGCTGAGGGTTGTTGTGAACACGCAGTCTCTTTCGAGCAAAGGAAACCACCTCATGACTGTGGCGGAACGCATCCCAGAGACCATCACACCCAATCACAAGAAACTCATCCTCCTCCGTCAGCTCTGCCTCACGTAGCTCAGGCTCCGCTATAAGCGGACCCACCACTGTTTCCCCATCTGCTGCCCTGTTCTTCATGCCCTGGGATGCGATAAACAAACCATGCATGGCAATGCGAAAAAAAAACGAAAGTTAGCAGACTGCAAAGAAAAAAGGCAGTATTAAACGTAACATTTCTTCTACAATCTGCTTACCTGCAAATGCCAGTCGCCGAGAGCTCTCGTTACAGCAAGTTGATCGTTAAGATAGTCTTCGACAATAAAGCCGCCCGCCAGGTGCACCCGCTCCCTCTCTAACTGACAGGACGGACGGTGGTCCCTGCTTAGCTCCACTACTTTTCCTCGCCGACACAGCACAGCTCGGCAATCACCAGCATTTGCGACGTACAGAGCCCTGAAACGACCCATTTTGTAAACCGGTCAGCAACAATAAAAAAGGAACTAAGCGAACAAAACGACAAAGAATGAAGATGATGACATACTTTCCCAAAAGCAGAACTGCCAGCGCGGTTGTCCCTGATTCCATTGGCTCGCTGGCCAGAGTATGCGCCATCTCCAGCTCTCGGTCGGTACGCATGAACGCATTGCAGATTGCTTGTCCTACTTGATCTGGGAAAGACGGATCGCTAAGAATGTTCCCTAGCAACTGACTGCTCACGAATTTCGCAGCAGCGTCACCACCATGCCCATCAAACACCTGAAACGGGAAAAGTCGAGTTGGATGTCAGCCCACTAATGACCCATATGCGACCCAGGGGAAGCGCAACAAAGCAAGGCACACTCACACCGTAAAAAGATCCCCGTCGCGAGAACGACAAATCACCAAACGACTTCGTCAGGTCATCAACCATCACATGCGCATCTTCCATGTTCTTCCTCGGACCCTGATCAGATCCATGTCCTGACCGAACGACAGGCCACTCCAGTACCGACGTGGAACGCGGAAGCAGCTGGTCAGATACTGGCTTCAAACCATAGGCGCGTTCTGCAGAAGCAGACTCCGTGACTTCCTGCAGACGCCAGTCAATGCGCAAGGTCTCTCAGATTCGATATCTTCAGCATAAAAGACCAAGATACGTAACGTCTTTTGATCAGATATGGTAAGATACTCTAGTAGGTAACTTACATGTCTGGCAGAAAGTATGACTTCTTCCTCGCTTGGTAGCAGGTTGCATGTGAAGCTACGTCTCATCAACCCGAGAGGGTTGTTGACAGACTGTTCCTTGACGCTCATAACGGAACAGCGTGACTGTAACGTGAAGCAAGTATCTGGTAAGGCACAACCACTGTGACCATTAAATGGTGTCAAAGGACCTTCGTGAGAGCTTTCGTCCTCCGCTTCAGGAATCATGGTAGTACTGAGCCACGAAAAAGGCGTTAATCCCTGTCCTAACCCTGACACGTCTGCATCCTGGAAACGTCTACCTTCTTCCATGCCTAAAGCACTCCCTGAAGCTATTGCTGCCATAACCCCGATTGGCGATAAACCTGGCATACGTGAGTCTCCAGCAAACCCTATTTTCAAGGAAACAACGGACTAACGAGTTGGCTCTCGAAAGAGGGCACACAACGCGCGAGCGTAAGATGCGAATACCGTTACAAGCAGGCTACTGGATTCCTTAGACCTGGTAGAGAATGATTAGTTCATAAAATAGCTGCAACAATGAGTTCCTGGTCCAAGTCATTATTTGTGGGTGCCCTAAAGCCTTGAGCTGAGGAGGATGCAAGGGTAGGCAAAAAGCGGCTGGCTGATGCTTTGGTGTTGCGTGTGGTGGCTGGTGCAGCTGTGTGCCACATCAGCCGCCAAAAAGCTCCGCTGTCTGCTGAGCGACAGTTGCAACTGCGATGAGGTGCGAACGGTTTGTTCGGATCAACCGAGGATTTATGGCCGCAACTGCAGCTGGCGTACGCTCGACTTGGTGGTGTTACCCGCAGGGCTGGGAGTTCATCGGGCCCTACATGGGCTGGAACTCGAAGCGAAGAAGTGATGGGCAGGCTAGTGTTTGCAACGGCCCTGGAGAACTTGTGTTGTCACATCACCACCACCACCTGGCACTCGCTAGTTCTTTCCACTCATCGTTACCGTCCGCCCGAAAAGGAAACCGTTCCTAGCCATCGATAACGAAGAAGGGGAAAAAGGGGCAGGTTCGTGACGTGGCGGCAGATTTTGTTGGGGAGCCAGCATGGTGGGAGCCATTTGTTTTTGTAAAGATTGCCCGAATGCCGTGTGGCCAATCACAAGACCGAGGTCAGCGCATTTTGGCGCTCATCATGATAGGGCTGGGCATAACCCAACTTCCCCACCACCACGAGGATTCTCTCGAGAATCGTGGAAGCCCAAAAAGGACAATCGAATAATCTGCAACTCGGATCTAGAACCATGCTCTATAAGGGTATGTGTTCACAATTATTTCTAACGGAACCTATATTCATAAGTACTATTGTTCTTGGTTGGATCCACCGATTTGAAGGTAATTACATACATTACTGTGGAGAATACTAGCACCTCACCACTCTGCATGATTGAGGGCAAGATAACCTGATCGATACCGTCCATTTGTGAGCCTAAGCTCATTGATGAGCCTGTTCCAATTGGAAGCTAGAGCTCCAACAAAAAAATCACATTCTGATGCTATTATAAGGTTAACAAAGCTGGCTGCAGTTACTGCGCCAGGGCCTGCTGACTGCTCATACGAATAGAAGAACTTGTTTCCTGTTTGCCTCTGCACCTTGGTAAAGAGGAAGATCCAGTCGCGGAAGCGGGACACTGCTTCATCAACAACAGTCTGCAAACATGGGAGAAGGGTAGGAGGGTAATGAGATGGAGAGACAGTGAATACACACACATGCATGGAGTAAAGGAAGGTGCATGAATGTGTTCATTTTTGCTGGAAAACCCAAAGCTGCTGAAATTGTCTACAGAAGAAGGATCGGGAGGGGTTGAACAGATTCCCAAAGCCCCACACATACCTGCATTTCTGTGCTGAGCCACACGTGCTTGAGGTTTGGAACATGCAGGCGCAGACGATGGCCCAGATACACATACGAGGCAAGCGAGAAGAGCAGCATCTCATGGCCCTTGTCTCCCTGCCGCACATGCATGCTCACTATCGGCCGAAAGATAAACGGCTGTCTCCCAACACCACCATCCATCATCCCGCCCGCACCATCACCCCCTGCATCAGCCGCAGCACTGGAAAGAGTCTCAGCAGAGCCATCCGAGGCAGTGAGGAGGGCAGTTTGAGTGGCAGCCACGCGAAGGGCGACGCGGTAGCCATAGGTGTCGTGGCGAGCGCGGTTGAGGAGGTGGCAGAGGTAGCGCGAGGGCCAGCGCAGCATGAAGCGCAGCGACTGCGAGCGCCACCATGACACCTGCAGGTAGCGCCCCTCCGCGTCAAAGCGCCGCCCCAGCAGCTCCGTTGACACCTGCCGCTGCACCCATGGCGTCCCCCAGTGGCTGCCATGGTGCGATGTAATGCGATTCAAAACGGTGTGATGCCAGTCAATGACGACATGCCAAGTGCGGCTCTGCCAGAGAGTACAATCTGAACGAATGCATGCTGCAGAGAGCAGAGGCAGAGGCGGCGAACACGTACAAGGAAGCGGAGGCCTCTTTGGCCATCTTGGCCTGGAAGCGAGTGACTCCGGGGAAGAACACGACGGGCAGGTCTGACTGCAGCAGCTCGCTCAGTGCTGGCCCGGGGTCAGGCGGGGGGACCGGGTGCGAGGGGCCGTGCTCCTGCTGCTGCTGCCACAGGGTGAGCGCTTGCTGCTGGCAAGCCAGGGAGGTGAGGGGGAAGAAGTAGCAGGAGAGGGAACCATAGTCCGGCCCTGCACAAAGCACGGGAATGGCATGCGGGGTGCGGTGGGGTGAGCCAGCACTGTCCGCTATGCACTGCAAGAAATGCACGTGGCCAATGAGAGCGTGTATGGCAGAAAGCAACAACCACATTGTGCACGGCAACCTGCTAGGTCGGGACCCCTATAAGAGCCCCACTTTCCCCCTTCCCCCCCTTCCCACACACCTGAGCAGGAGTTGTGCGTGGCGTGGGAGAAGGAGCCGGGTGCGGGCACGAGGACGCGGCCGTGGAAGAAGGCGAGGCTGAGCGCGGCGCTCATGATGTGCAGCTGCGACCCCAGCCCGTGCCCGCGCGGGTGCTTCCACTCCACCAGCAGGAAGCGTGGGGGAGCGGATGGGGATGAGGATGGGGAGGAGCAGGTGGGGGGGAACTGGTGCAGCCAGAGGTCGGTCTGGGCGATGCGCGTGAGCGCCAGGTTGTCCTCGTCCGCCCCGCGGATCTGATGGGGAAAGATGACGAAGAGGGGGGAGGGCGAAGAGGTGAATTGGAGGAAGATGACAGGAGGGTGTAGAGGAATGGGTGCAATGCAACAATTTCAACAACACAGAGTGGGCGAGTGAGGAGTGTGTGAGGGAATTCCAGAGATTGGCACAAAGCAGCACTGTAACACCTACGCCACCCACTCTTCCTCGTTTCCTCCCTCCCTCCCCTCTCACCCATGGCGGAAGCGGCCCCTGCTGCCCTCCTTCCTTCACTTGCGCCCATGCAGGTGTTCCCCCTTCCCCCCCTGCGCCTTGCCCAACCCCCTTTCTCCTCTCCGCCTGCTCCCGCCGCCACGTCACCCTCGCGCAGTCCTCCAGATGCGGCGCTGGCGGCACGCTCACGCGCCCCTCTGCGCCCACTGCCACGTCAGCATCGCCGGGTGCGGCGGTGATGGCGGAGGCTGCAGCAGCGAGGGAAACGGGGAGGCGGACGGCAGGGGGAGGCGCGGTGAGGTTGGCGGAAAGGCCGTACGCGGCGTCCCACGCCTGGATAAGGGGGGCGGGGGGGGGGGCAGGGGAGTCGCGGAAAGACGGGAGGTGGCGGGGAGAGTACCTGATGGGGACTGGGCCGGGGTGAAGCGAATGGGTAAAGAGTGGTGAGGAAATTGGCCCGAGGGGAGAGACAGCCGTTTCTGGCTGTTGCGTAGCAAAGCAACACCTCTATTCCCCTCGCAGTGCCCCCATTCCCAACCACCCGGTTCCTTTCGCATCCCCGTTCTTTCCCCCACCATCCGCCGCCCTCCCATCCTTCCGTCATTACAACCTCCCCTCCATTACTCGCCTCCCCCTCCTCCCCTCCCCATCTTCCGCCATCACCACGGGCGCACATCGAAAAGCAGTTGCGCGTGCTGGTGACGTCCGCTCACACTCGCTGCGCGCGCAGACCGGCCAATGCGACGCTGACACGTCAGGGCCAGCACAAGAAGTGCAAGACAGTGGAACGCAATTCGAGTCGACTCACGACGACGATGCAAGAAGCCGCGCGCGATAGGAACTCCCCGTCGTTTCAGCGGGACTAGGTTGGTAAGTATGCTCAAGGAGGGCCATGGCGGCGTGCGAGACGCCATGTCACGACACACGCAAAGAGTAGACTATGGACGGCAGGGTCGGAGGAGTCGAAGGGGCGAGTCGATCAGACGGACGACGAACGGCGACAGCGTGAGAGTAGACGCGCGGGAAACGACAGCCAGACATTGAAGACGGCGGAAGTGGGTCTGAACTTGGGGACTGCAACGTCGGCATACTCGGCACAAGCCCTTACACGAATTCCTGTCTCTTGTTGCTGCCTTGCCAAAATGTCATATACATTGCTCTCTGTACATAAACAGTTATTATGGTAAACTCGTAGCCGCTATTAGAATTCCATGTGGCAACAAATCGGTTTTTGTAATCCGCATCGTGTCATATAGAAAGAATTATTTTTTTACCAGTTTTATGGCTTTGGGAACATGTGTTTTGATGCCAAAAAACGACACATGTGTACGCTGACCATAACCTGTAGAGAAATATTCGTTGCTAAGTGTAGCATATGCAAGGACAATATGTTATGTGTGAGCGGCAGGGTTAAAAAGTCATGCTCGTCATTGTCCCACCAACGTGGTCTCCTTTGCTTGGCGGTTCGTCAGGCTCCGTGATTCTGGGTGCCTTGAAAGGAGGAAACGTGCTGAACGTGGTCTTTGGTAACACATGGCTCTTTCGCAAAAAAGGTCGTCACTATCGCAGTTTCTGCTAACGAGGGGTGGGTCAACATGTGCCGCCATTTGTGATGGTTCGCTCGCACCCCTCACCTCCGACGCGCGGGCGGCTCCGCGGCTTTTCCCGAAGCGAACAATTTGAGAATCGAACATTTCGGGAGCAGTGGGCCGTGAGTTGTGAGCTTTGGGCCGTGGGCCGTGGGCCGTGGGAGATTCGACTCGACATAAGGACTGTGCCCATTCACCCGTTGATTCCTCACGTCTCCCTTCACCACTCTTCCCATCCCACACCATCACTTCCGCGCCGCAACCTGCTTGTTGTCCCCAACCAGGCCTGGTTGAATTCGTGAAAGCCAGCAACGAATATACAAGCAGTTATGATGGAAGATTGACCTCTCCTACCAGCAGCAAGAAAGCGCTTGGTAGGCTATGCGGAGGCTCGTTGTTGCAAGTTGTGCTGTTAGCAGGTAGGAAGCATCTTAGAGGTAAAGCGTGACGAACGATATAGCAGGCGTAAATATCATTCTTTATGGTAGTGCGAGGATCGATGGCGGTAGGTCCTACGAGTCAGCCGCGCAGTAGCTGCTTCACGCTTCGCCTCTTAGGCAAACAGAAATCGACCAGGAGCAAGAGGCAGTCCACCGTGCATCCCGTGGGGGATCTCGCCGCTCACCCAGCGCCCGCCGCGGAACAGCCACGTGGCGATGGTAGGAATGGCGCCGCGAGAGCTGGACGTGGACAGGTCGCAGGAGTAGGGATTCATACCGCCACAGCTGCGCCAGCAGTCGCTGTTGCACATAGTCATAGTCCCGAAACCGACAACGACCGGCGAGTGCAATACGCGCAGGATTTAGCAGCGGCGCCGATAGAGCGATCACTAGAGCGCGCCGAGCGAAGTCTTGTGGCAGCAGCCGTAGCTGGCGCTGCATCCACATCGCCATGCGAATCATCGGCAGGAATACCGGGGCCGCAGGTAGCGGCTGAAATTCGGCTAAAGCTGCATCGTGTGGAAGAGGAGCCGTCCAGCTCAGATGCGCCTGATGCTGTCCCCCAATGCTCCTCCGCTGGACATTCCAAGTATCTTGTCGCGCGCTCCTCGAGCAGCGACGATGCGCGATCCATGCAATCCTCGCGACGGCCGTCGCTCACCGGCGGGCGAAGCTACGAAAAGGCGCGACGGGAGGGGCAGGAGCTGTACCGGCGGAAGGAGTACGCGGCGGCGGCGGAGAGTTACGGGGAGGCGATGCTGGCGCTGCTGCGCGAGGCGGGGCGCGACGACGCGACGAAGCGGTCGCTGCAGGCCATGCTCCTCGCCAACCGCGCCATGTGCTTCCGCTACCTGGGCAGGTCCGTGCACATGCTGCCGATACCGCTTAGATGGGTCCTAGATCCGATGAGGTTCATCATGCGGCGACGAATCAGCGGGTTTGCGCGTAGATGGATCGGCAACTCTCTGAACAATAACGTCTAGCCCCCTTTTGAATACTTCCTGGTCGACCTCCAAATGAAGTTGAACGGAGATCAGGCGCCACGACTTGGTTCAGATCTAGTCAATTCACGGCTGGACCGTCATCTCGTGGTGTTGCTAGCGGCGCGCTAATTTGCACCCCATAAGGATCGCAGCCGTGTTTTCCTTGTTTTCCCGTCATAACGCTCAAAGCGCTTTGATCTGTCGCACAAGGTCTTGTCGTCGACTCTTGGCAGTCAACTTCGCAGACCTCGCGCCTCATCTCTCCCCCCAAAATGCCCTTCTTGTCCATGCGATTTCCCCCACCCGTCGCGCAGGAACGAGGAGGCGATACGCGACTGCCACGCGGCACTGGCGTCCGACTTTTGCGCGGGCCAGACGCTGCTGCACATCGAGGAGGTGCTCGAGGAATGCGGTGATCTTCGTGGCGCGCTCGCGTGCCACGTGGCGTCCGTGCAGCGCGCGCTGGACGAGCGGCCGAGCGGCGAGATTCCCATGGAGGAGGCGACGGAGGTGGAGCGCGTGCGACGGCAGCTGATTGGCGAGCGAGAGCTGGCGATTCAATGGAAGAAAGTTCCCGCCAAGGGCAAACCGCCGCTCGGCGCGCAGATGTCGGCGGTGGAGTGGCGCGGGCAGGTGATTCTGTTCGGCGGCACGGACCGCAGCCATAACCTGCTGCCCAACGATCTCCACATCTTCGATACGTACAAGTCCGAGTGGCTCCTCGTCCACATCCCCGGCCTGCGCCCCGCCGCGCGCGCCGGCCATCGCGCCGTGGTTCACGGCGACTGCATGTACGTCTGCGGCGGCGGCCACTCCACGGATTTCGACATGTGGCGGCTCGACCTGGTGACCATGGACTGGGAGCCCGTGCCGGCCGCGCCGGGGCTGCCAGCCGGGTCGACCGAGGACGAATCGGAGCAGCGCTCCGACGAGCATCCAGCGAGCTTGGCGGGTCGGGAGTTGACGCCGCGGGGCCAGGCGCCGCCGGGATTGGTGCAGCACAGCGTGTGCGTCGTTGACGGCCGGCTACTCGTGTGGGGCGGCTTCGTTGTCGGCCGGCCGCCGCTCGAGCGGCACGCTAACCGGCAGCACCTGTACGAGTTCGACTTCGAGACGGGCGAATGGCGGCGCGACACGTGGCAGGGGGATTACCTCCCGAAGGCGTATCAGGACCGCGGCGTGGGCACGTGTGCCGGCGTGGCGAGTTGCAGAGAGGGCGGCAGGAGCGAGTCCGTTGAGATTATGTCGTTCTTCGGAAGCCGCAAGACTCTCGTGCCGCGATCTGGACTCATCATGGACGAGTCGATCGCGACCGTCGATCGCCTCCTGCTGGGCGAGCGCCGATGGCAGCCCGTGCCGCTGCTCGGACCGCGCGTGCCCGCCGCGCGGTCGGAGGCGGCGTTCCTGTCGCTGCCGGATTACGCTGCGACGCTGTGTGTTGGCGGGTACTATGAAGGTAAGGCGCTGTTCATGTGGTGCTACCTTCTCGTGCGGTCCCGTGACCAGGAATTCTTCCCATTTATGGGTCTTTGGTGCCCTTGTCCCCCCCAAGCGCGGTTCGTCTCCTCATTCCCCGTTTGTCCCCTTCCCACTCCGCTGTTCCCCCATCAGGCGCGATTCACCGCGACGGGTGTCGGTACTACGGCGACGCGTGGCTGTGGCACCACGACCTGGGCATCTGGTCGCCGCTCGCCGCCAAGGGCGACGAATTCCGCGCCGGCGCGCACTTCTGGCTCGTGCAGCGCACCGACGGCGCCGTCTTCGCGGGCGGCGGCTTCTGCGGCACGCCCATGTGAGTGTCGCGCGAGGGGATTGGGGGAGCTGGGGAGATGCACTGAGTGCACCGCGGGGAATTCGGTAAATGCGTCTTTACGCTCACAAACAACCCGCCCCCTTTTTCCCCCTCTCCTTCCCTCACTCCCGCCGCCCCCCGCAGCACGACCATGTTCGGAACTGTCTACGAGGCCACCATCGTTGCGCCCAAAGTGCGCCGTCCGCCGCCCCCGCGCGCCCCCGTGCGCTCCCTTCCCCTCGCCCACCCCATCGCACCCGGCTCCCCCCTCCTAGCTCTCCCCGCGCCCCCTTCCGCCGCGCCCATACTTGCGCTCCCTTGGGGCTCCTCCCCGTCGCCTGGGCGCGGAACTTCCCTCTCCTCCTCCCCCTCCCCCCCGCCGCACTCCTCCCCTCGCCCCCTCTCCGCCTGCTCCTCATCCTCCTCCCTGCGCACGCCCGCCACGCCGCTCATGCCCATCGTGCGCTCCGCTTCCGCCGCCGCGTTCCGCCAAGGCGCGAGGGCGGGCGCACACGGGGAAGGGGAGAAGCTGGGCGCGGCGGGGGGGATGGTCGTGATGAGCCGCTGCAACACGCTACCCGCGCAGTACTCTCCGCCGGGCGGGGGGATGGCTGGGGGAGAGAGCGGCGCAGGCGCGGGCGGAGGATTCAGCGCGTGGGACGAGCGGCAGCTGGCGCTGGGATCCGCTGACGTCAGCACAGAGCATCACGACGCGAACGTGCGGTTCAAGGCGAAAGAAGAGGCGCCGTTCGAGCCGCCGCTGGGACCAATCAACATCAAGATTCTAAAGCTCGAGTTTGAACGACGGGTGAGAGCAACACACACCTCTTGAAAGGGCGGTTTCAATAGTAAGTCTCATGCTTCAAGTTCGCGCCGAAGCCTTTTGAGCTTTTGAGGCGGGCCCTGTGAACGGGATTCTGTGAATACGCCTCAAACTCGAAGGCGTTCCTCCTGCCCTCGGTAATCCCCTTATCCGCGCATTCCCCTTCCCCCCCATCTCGCCCCTGTTTCCGCGCGGCGCAGCGTGAGAACCGGCTGAAGACGAAAGCGGAGATGGCGGCGGCTGGCGCAATGGCGGCAATGCGGCGCGTGAGGGCGCAGCAGGGGGACCAGATGGGCGCAGGGGTGGCGCAATCCCTGCTGCTGCACGTGCGAATGAGACAAATCGACCCGCCCATCTGGAGGTGAGAAGGGAAGGAGGCAGGGTTTGGTGATGGCTGCACTCTTCCCCTCGTTGCTCACGTGGCAACTCATGCCACGTCATGTCTCCCATCACATAGCATCTAATCCCAACCCATGTCATGTCATGCCTTATCATCCCATGCGATGCCATCCCAACCCATTCCATCCTACCCCACCCCATGGCACCCATCAGGCGCGTGGAGGTGTCGGGGCACATGACGCTGCGCCAGTTCCACAAGCACGTGCTGCGCCTCGCCATGGGCTGGGCCAGGTGCGTTCCAGGTGTTCAGGTGCGGCCTCAGGTGTTGAGGTGCTCCGCAGGTTGGCAGGTGACAAGCGTTGCATGCAGCAGCACACGGTTACTTCGTTCGTTGGTGGCGCTTACCATAATCTCCGTCACTCATTCTTGCTCCGTCCCCCTTAGGGATGATCACATGGTCGTGATGGTCCCACTCATGTCTATATCCAACCCCCCCACACAAACCCCGTTCCCATGCCCATCCCCTGTCATCCCCTGTCCCAGGGACCATCACGCCTACAAGTTCCGACCCTCCTCAGGCCCTTGCCCCGGCGTCTGGTTCGGCCCGACCCTGTCTGCCGCGCCTGACTTCGCCCTGGCGCGCATGCTGGGGCAGGGCTTGGCGGACGACAACTGTGTGCTGCTGGGGGAGATGCTCGTCAAGGTGAGCACGAGGGGAAGGAAGAAAAGGGGGGGCGATTTGGCTTACATGGCGCGACTGCAATCGACTATGGAGCTAGCATTCCCCATCTCCTGTTCCATACCATGCCTGCACCACCCATGCCTGCACCACCCATGCCTGCACCACCCATGCCTGCACCACCCATGCCTGCACCACCCATGCCTGCACCACCCATGCCTGCACCACCCATGCCTGCACCACCCATGCCTGCACCACCCATGCCTACACCATCCACACCTTGCCCCATCCCACAGGAGGGAGACCGCATGGCATATGTGTACGACCTCACAGACCGCTGGGAGCACGAGATTGTGCTGCTGCACGCCACGCCTGGCCCGCCACACCGCCCTGTCAGTACCCTTCCTCTTCCCCATTCTCTTCTCTCTGATAAAATCCCTCCATACATTCGCCTGTGTTGCCAATAGGAGAGCTTCAATTGAAATCATTCCTGCCTGTAATTTCAACAATATCCCCAAAGTGATCCCAATCCTTTCTGCCTTGAAGTCCATCTATTCCTCCCACCCCTTCCCCCCTATCCATGTTCCACTCCTCACCCCACCCCCTTCTCCCCCTCTTCTCCCCTCATTGGCACACACAGCTGAGAGCGGAGGTGGTGGATGGGTGGGGGGCATGTCCCCCAGAGGACGTGGGGGGCATGGGGGGGTACCTGCGGCTGCTGGAGAGAGTGAGAAGCAGCCATGGCAGCAAGCGCGATGCTGCTTGCACTCGGGTGCTCAGGGCTGCTAATAAGAGCCACCTTGACTCGTTTGACCCCACGTGAGTGCTTGACTCGTTTGACCCCACGTGAGAGCCTTGACTCGTTTGACCCCACGTGAGTGCCTATGAGTGCTTGCCTGCTGCATTTTACACTCATATAATCCTTCTCATGAATCACCTACTCTCATTCTCATTCTCATTTTGCACCCATCTTCACTTCTCCCTCTGCCATCCTCCACTCCCCCCCTGTGCTCCACCCTACAGCAACTTCCCTCTGAACGCCTGTAGAGCAGCTTTGGAGAAGCACCTGGCAGCAGCGGCTCTCACCCCGCCGTCCAACCACCTCGACCCCGTCCCTGTCGCCACCCACCCCGCCCCCGCCCTCGCCTCCCCCTCCCCCCTCGCCCCCCTCCAACGCTCCAAGTCCTTCTCCCTCACCCGCCCCTCCTCCACCAGCCCCCACCACTCGCACACGCCACATCAGCTGCCACATCAGCAGCACCGTCACCACCAGACCGCCAGGTCACCGCAGCGTGGCCACGGCAGCCCCCACCGCAGCCCTCGGCCAATCACAAGCAGCTCAAGCTTCGGCAGCAGCGTCAGCAGCAGCAGTAGGGGGGGATCCAGGGGTGTAGGAGGAGGGGGGACACGGGGAGTGGTACCAGGGCCGATACTAGCGCAATCGGTGCCTCCCCTGAATCTACCTCCACCTGATTTTGCAGGGCGCAAGGCGTGTCAGGCATGTGGGTCGAGCAAGGCGGAGGTGGCGTGTGAGCGGTGCCACCGGGCCTTCTACTGCTGTGTGGAGCATCAGCACATGGACTGGAAGCTCGGCCACAGGCTCGTGTGCGTGGCCGTGGAGGAGGTGCGGTGACGTGCCGAGCGGTTCGGGTGAGGTGAATTCTTCGTGAAAGGCATCTGAACGTGATGTGGCAGATGGGGTTTATAATTGGTGCTTTACTTGGTATTGTCGGCTCTAAGCAACACAAGAGAAAGATGTTGGTGGTAGATTTCAATGTTGGATAGAGGCAAATGTTAGAATCAAAGGGATATTTGGGGTATGGCTACAAACATAGAGGCATGGCGTATTTTCTGGATGAATCAATTCTATGTACTGTTACTCCAATAATGTCAATGTTGGTATTGTTATACCAACAGAATAATATTTGTCGGTACATCTTCCTTGGTGTGTAGGACTTGTTGGTACATATTTGTTTGCCAGTGCTATAACGCGCTATAGAGGGCAGCCCTTATCCCGCTTTACACTCGCGAGCCAAATTCTAGGTTTCCCGAGGAGGCTGGTGGCGAGGCGAAGCTAGGGAAGAGAAAGAAGCCATAAATACCAACGCAACTGACAAGCCCAAGGGATTTTGCTAGTGAGAAACTCGCACACGCAGCTTCCAGCGCGACACAGCCAAGAGTAGTGTGATTCTTGAAGCTGCTAGGTTCTCAGCTGCAGCCTTCACGCCGTTCAGCTTTTAAGCTTGGGTGTCGAGTTGATCCTTTTACGCGGTTCCGAGATAGTAACACGTCTCTCGCCAGCGCCGCGTAAATTGCGGACGTCATCGTTGTCGCAAGGGCTTCCTTAAGTCGCAAGCTTCGTGTGAGTCGCGAGCGTCGTCAAAGTCGCGATGACGACGGCAGCGCGGCCAACATGGGCGCCGGCCAAGGGAGGCGAGGAGCAGGGCGGGTCGCGCATGTTCGGTCCCAGCCAGAAGTACTCCGCTAGAGACGTCGCCAGCCACACTAGCCTCAAACCCAGGTGCGGGTCTTAAAGACGTCTCTAATTCAAGCTATAGCATGCTGAGGCCAAGCCAGCTCTATTCCGGTTGAGACTTTCACGAGTCGCTAACTGGATGCGCAGTAACCTCAGATAGGCGATTCTTATTGCGGCCTTAGGTACCCCGTATAAGATATCGTCTGTCCAACTCGTTCCGTGTCCGCCAATCATACTTTTTTATCTAAACATGGCGTGTGCCTCTCCATGCTTCGTGTCCGCGTGCTCACGTGTGCGCGAGCAGGAAGGAGGGGCAGGTGACGAAGGAGGAGGTGAAGCGGCGGGATCTGCGGGGGGAGCTGGAGGAGCGCGAGAGGCGGCACTTCGCCGCTAAGGACAAGGAGCAACAGCTGCGCACCGACGACCGCAAACGAACCGCCGGGTTGCTGTTACCAGGTAACGGCGGCGAGCCTGTGCGGTTTCGTGGCCGGCGGTCCTTGCGTGTGCGTTACGCGTGCTTGCGTTTCCTGTCTTTGCGTCGTTGCTGACTGGGCTGGGCGCATTGTGTGCATGATGTATGCACGCGTGCATGGTACGTGGTGTGCGTGCTTGCTTGGGTGCAGGCAGCGGGGCGTTGGGAGGGCGGAAAGAGGTGGAGGAGCGGTTGATACCCCGAGCAGCAGACGCGGATGACTCGGATGGGGAGGACAGAAAGGGCGGGGGTGGTGATGACGAGGATGAGGACGATGATGACGAGGACGATGACGAGGATGACACCATGGAGCTGCTTGCTGAGCTGGAGCGAATTAAGAAGGAGCGAGCCGAGGAGAAGCTGCGCAAGGTATGTGGCTGGCTGCCAGTGCGGTCAGTCGCCCATGCAGCCATGTGTGTGCGCACAGTGCATGTGTATGCGCTTAATGCCATTCCGTGCCATGAATCGTTTTCTAAGTTCTCCAAGGGCGCACCTGAATGCACAAGTTCAGGCTTCTTGCCATTGCGCTCAATGCGTTGAATGCGCTAAATTCCCTGTTCTGTTCGCCTCTAATTTGCCTCTCCTCCTCCCTGCTGTGCCGTTTTCTTCTTCCCATGCGGTGCATGAGAGCAGGAGAAGGAGCAGGCGGAGCAGGAGGCGAAGGCGCGGGAAAGAGAGATGGCGCGCGGCAACCCCATCATGGCTGCGGGGGGCTCTGCCTTTGCTGTCAAGCGCAGGTGAGGACGGGCCAGGGGTTTGTGGTCGAAGGGGGTGTGGGTGAGGGGGGTGTGAGAGAGGGCAGCATGGCAGCACAGCACCACAAGCGTCCTCCCATGGAAGCATCCTTGTCCCCGGCCAAAGCCATCCCCTGCCTCGCACCCCATGGCTCGTCTCTCATTGCCCTGCGCTCCCCTGAACCAGGCGGGACGATGATGTGTTGTTCCGCAACCAGGCCAAGGACGAGCAGAAGGTGACTTGTGATTCGATTCAAATCCCCTTGACTCATTTCTTGCCGCCCTTGCCATTCACTGGACCGAGCCAGGTGGGACGACGATGTGGTGTTCCGCAACCAGGCCAAGGACGAGCAGAAGCCCACCAAGCGATTCATCAATGACACCATCCGCAGCGACTTCCACCGCCGCTTCCTCAACAAATACATGAAGTAGCGCGCCTGCTTACACTGCGAATACGTGAAATACGCGTGCTGCTAGCATATTCCTAGTGGCGGCAGAAGAAGTTGCCTCCTGCTCCGAGGGTTGTTGAAGTTAGGTGTTACCACCCATTCACCCTGTACATGTGCTCAGTATCTGCAATGCAAGCCCCTGTGTTTTCTTTATTTGTCTGAAATACAGGACCAGTATTGTTCCTGACTGTGTTTCTTTAAGAAGCTCTGCTAGGAATGTCACATTCCAAGCCTAAGAGCACATCGTAGCACAGATGATCCAGATGACCAAAAGACATCTACGGTGGAAGCAATAACAAACTGCCAAACCAAACGCTTCTACTATAAGAGCAAATGCATAAAGACGTCTTTATGCTCTCTACGGACATAGCATTACACTACCGGTACATAGCGTTTGCTACCTGCACTACACACAAATATAAAGAATTGCCTAAGTGTTGCTACGATCACCTGACCTGACCAAAACTACACAACAAAACAGAGCCTCCTGGCGAGGCCCATGCAACAGATCTGTAGCCGTGCCAGTCACAGCAGCTGCGTGCTTATGTCTGCCACAATGCCAAGCGCACAGCCATGGCAGCACCACCATATACCGCATGACATGGCTCCACACTCTCCAACTTGCGTGCTCAGCACTGGAACTCCTCGGACCACTGAGACCTCTATTACTGCCAGGATGTCACCAGCACTCTCCCCTCAGCTGCACACAGCAGCCTTTCAAGATAGCCGCTGCAGTGTGTGCCAATCTTCGCCCCTCACAGCCACACCACACCCCAAAGCAGCCTCACCTTGGACTGCAACCCCTCCAACCCCCAGCGCCCCTCTATGTGGCAGCAGCGCCCGCTGCGGCCTTCTCTGCAGCCTCCTTGGCCTTGTTGTCGCGCTGCTGCTGCGCCACCTGCGCCACTGTGTGCGCCATGGCCTGGTGGGCGAAGTCCAAAGAGCCCATCAGACTGCTGAACCGCTCCGGGTCCGATGCTTGCACTCCTGGTCATGGGAGGAGTGGAGAGGGGTGGGGAGGCAAGGGGAGGGGTGAGGAAAGAGGGCAGAAGAGCGGGTATGGACGGGGGAATGAAGGGGAGGAGGGAGGGAGGGTCAGGTGCAAGGCAGGAGGCAGGAGCAACATGAGCCATGCGGTCTGATTGCTGTCGTGGTGTTGGCGCAGATAATGGAACGGCCAGCTGAACGGATGGGCGAGTATGAGGCATGGCTTGTCCTCTCACCCGCCATGGCATGCTGTGAATGTGAACATGAGGCATCACTGACGGAGGCACTCCATTCCCTCTCTCTCACCAGCCATGATGTCGGAGAAGTGGATGAAGGGGTCGACGTCATCAATGGGTGTGAGCATCTCATCCTCGTCCGACCAGAAGCCCTCATCGTCCTCGTCCTCCTCGTCGTCCCCATCCAACATCTTGTGCGCCTGCCATGCCATGCCATACCACGCCATGTAACGCCATGCCATGCCATACCACGCCATGTAACACCATGCCATGCCATGTGACGTCATGCCATGCCATACTAGGAACAGAGCAGAGCGCATAACAATGAGAACCACAGCATAGAGGACAATGGACGTGGCAGGCAAACACCCAAGGGCATGTGTGGCAACGCTACAAGCATTGCTCAAGCAAGACAGGACAGTGTGGCATGAGAGGAAGCAGCATGGGCGTGTGACTGACCTTCTTGATGGCCTTCTTCAGCTCTGACGACTCCTCCTCTTCCTCCTCCTCTTCCTCCTCCTCCTCATCCTCCTCCCCCCCATCGCCCATATCCTCGCCCTCCTCGTCCTCATCCTCGTCCTCTGATTCCAACTCCGCCGCTGCTCACACATGCACGCAGCGCAAGGGAGGGAGTGGCACGTACACATGGGTGGGGGAGTGGCAAGTACACATGGGTGGGGGAGGAAGGACTGATTTGGGCAGCTTCAAAGAGCAGTTTCTGTTTTTTTCCTCACTAGCTCTCCTGCCTGCTGCTCTTGGCAAGGCACCGCCCTCGGCAGCACCGCCTTGCAGCTTCACGCAGAGCACGCACCTTCTTGCTCCCATCACATCTCTTCATCTCACTCCTATTCTAGTCTCTCACTCACCCTCCTGCTGCTCTTTGAACGCCACCAGCAGCTGCAGCACGGCCTTGGCGAATTCGCCCTGCAGCGGTGCCACCGATGCTGGCAGCGCAGCCGTGGGCAGTGACAGCAGCGACACGAGCCCCAGAATGCACACCTTCTTGTCGTGCTGCCTGTGGGCGGGAAGAGGGGTGTGGGGGGGATGGAGCGTAGGTGAGGGGGTAGGGGAGATGCCGATGAAATCCGTGAATCCTGGCAGAACGCACAGTTCAATGAAAGACTTGATGCACAGCTGACCTCTTGAAGTGGAGGCGCTTGCTGGTGGTCTGGCTCTTCGCCTGCAGCATGGTGAGCCACGTCTGGAACACGCCTGCCGTCGCCCCCATGCCCTCCAGCGCTTGCAGCGTGAGCTGCGCGTTGTAGTACAGCCCGTTCGCCACCACCTGTGGGGGGAGAGTTATGGAGAGAGAAAGAGGGAGAGAGCATAGAATTGTACTTGTTGTGAATCCAGCAACAGTAAAGGCATCCGCAGCAGCGGCAGCCACATGTGCTGAAGCACATGAGGAGGTGCTTCCCGTCTGCTGTAGCGATGCATTGTGTGATGCCTAATCCACTAACTTTACCGGCACTGGCAGAAGCAGCAGTGTCGGCGGCGGCGGGAGCAGCGCAGAAGCAGCGGCAGAGGCACAGACACGGACCTGCATGAGGAGGTCCTTGAGGTGGCGCAGGGAGGCCTTGTTGAGGCGAGTGAGGGCCAGCTGCAGGTAGAGCGGCAGCCACGCGTCCACACGCCCCCGGCAATTGAGCAGCACCACCTCCATCAGCTTCGGTGCTGGTACCAAGTCACGGTCGCTAATGTCGTCGTCGCTCAACAACTGAAAGGCAACGGAAGGGAGAGGGTGACAGCATGGTGAGTGGAGGGCATGACAAGGGTTGTGTGTGTGAGGGGGCAATTGAGCAGCACCAACTCCATCAGCTTCGGTGCTGGTACCAAATCACGGTCGCTCATGTCATCGTCGCTCAACAACTGGTGTTGATGGCGTGGGGTGATGGGGTGGTGGGATGATCGGGTGGAGGGATGATCGGGTGGTGGGATGATCGGGTGGTGTACGAGTCATGGGGGTGGGGCGATTTATATATGGGGTTAGTGAAACAGACGGAAGTGAGTGGGTGGGCGGGTGGGGAGGAGAGTACCGTGAAGGTGGGCAGTGCGTGTGCACCACCTTGTGCACTATCGATTACAGCATGCTTGACGTTATCGACCGTGCCAAATGCCCTCTGCCACATCACACCGCGCGCTCTGCATGCCCACTGCCCACTGCCCAGTGGAACGAAGAACCCACCTTGGAGAGTACCCCACCTTGGAGAGTACCCCACCTTGGAGAGTACCCCACCTTGGAGAGTACCCCACCTTGGAGAGTACCCCACCTTGGAGAGTACCCCACCTTGGAGAGTACCCCACCTTGGAGAGTACCCCACCTTGGAGAGCAGCTTCCAGAGCGAGTCAGGGTAGTTGGGGTCCGGGCACGTGAGGAAGTGCTCCGTGCCGCGCGAGATGAAGTTGTCCAATGGGTCCAGCGCGTCTGAGAGGACGGGACCATGAGAGCACAATGGGGCGTGGGGGAGAAAGGGAAAGGGTGAGGTCCACGCCACGCGATATAAAGTTGTCCAATGGGTCCAACGCGTCTGAGAGGACGGGACCATGACAGCTCAATGGGGCGTGGGGGAGAAAGGGAAAGGGTGAGGTCCATGCCACGCGATATAAAGTTGTCCAATGGGTCCAACGCGTCTGAGAGGACGGGACCATGACAGCACAATGGGGCGTGGGGGAGAAAGGGAAAGGGTGAGGTCCACGCCACGCGATATAAAGTTGTCCAATGGGTCCAACGCGTCTGAGAGGACGGGACCATGACAGCTCAATGGGGCGTGGGGGAGAAAGGGAAAGGGTGAGGTCCACGCCACGCGATATAAAGTTGTCCAATGGGTCCAACGCGTCTGAGAGGACGGGACCATGACAGCACAATGGGGCGTGGGGGAGAAAGGGAAAGGGTGAGGTCCACGCCACGCGATATAAAGTTGTCCAATGGGTCCAACGCGTCTGAGAGGACGGGACCATGACAGCTCAATGGGGCGTGGGGGAGAAAGGGAAAGGGTGAGGTCCACGCCACGCGATATAAAGTTGTCCAATGGGTCCAACGCGTCTGAGAGGACGGGACCATGACAGCACAATGGGGCGTGGGGGAGAAAGGGAAAGGGTGAGGTCCACGCCACGCGGTATAAAGTTGTCCAATGGGTCCAGCGCGTCTGAGAGGACGGGACCATGACAGCTCAATGGGGCGTGGGGGAGAAAGGGAAAGGGTGAGGTCCACGCCACGCGATATAAAGTTGTCCAATGGGTCCAACGCGTCTGAGAGGACGGGACCATGACAGCTCAATGGGGCGTGGGGGAGAAAGGGAAAGGGTGAGGTCCATGCCACGCGATATAAAGTTGTCCAATGGGTCCAACGCATCTGAGAGGACGGGACCATGACAGCACAATGGGGCGTGGGGGAGAAAGGGAAAGGGTGAGGTCCACGCCACGCGATATAAAGTTGTCCAATGGGTCCAACGCGTCTGAGAGGACGGGACCATGACAGCTCAATGGGGCGTGGGGGAGAAAGGGAAAGGGTGAGGTCCACGCCACGCGATATAAAGTTGTCCAATGGGTCCAACGCGTCTGAGAGGACGGGACCATGACAGCACAATGGGGCGTGGGGGAGAAAGGGAAAGGGTGAGGTCCACGCCACGCGATATAAAGTTGTCCAATGGGTCCAACGCGTCTGAGAGGACGGGACCATGACAGCTCAATGGGGCGTGGGGGAGAAAGGGAAAGGGTGAGGTCCACGCCACGCGATATAAAGTTGTCCAATGGGTCCAACGCGTCTGAGAGGACGGGACCATGACAGCTCAATGGGGCGTGGGGGAGAAAGGGAAAGGGTGAGGTCCATGCCACGCGATATAAAGTTGTCCAATGGGTCCAACGCGTCTGAGAGGACGGGACCATGACAGCACAATGGGGCGTGGGGGAGAAAGGGAAAGGGTGAGGTCCACGCCACGCGATATAAAGTTGTCCAATGGGTCCAACGCGTCTGAGAGGACGGGACCATGACAGCTCAATGGGGCGTGGGGGAGAAAGGGAAAGGGTGAGGTCCACGCCACGCGATATAAAGTTGTCCAATGGGTCCAACGCGTCTGAGAGGACGGGACCATGACAGCACAATGGGGCGTGGGGGAGAAAGGGAAAGGGTGAGGTCCACGCCACGCGGTATAAAGTTGTCCAATGGGTCCAGCGCGTCTGAGAGGACGGGACCATGACAGCTCAATGGGGCGTGGGGGAGAAAGGGAAAGGGTGAGGTCCACGCCACGCGATATAAAGTTGTCCAATGGGTCCAACGCGTCTGAGAGGACGGGACCATGACAGCTCAATGGGGCGTGGGGGAGAAAGGGAAAGGGTGAGGTCCATGCCACGCGATATAAAGTTGTCCAATGGGTCCAACGCATCTGAGAGGACGGGACCATGACAGCACAATGGGGCGTGGGGGAGAAAGGGAAAGGGTGAGGTCCACGCCACGCGATATAAAGTTGTCCAATGGGTCCAACGCGTCTGAGAGGACGGGACCATGACAGCTCAATGGGGCGTGGGGGAGAAAGGGAAAGGGTGAGGTCCACGCCACGCGATATAAAGTTGTCCAATGGGTCCAACGCGTCTGAGAGGACGGGACCATGACAGCTCAATGGGGCGTGGGGGAGAAAGGGAAAGGGTGAGGTCCACGCCACGCGATATAAAGTTGTCCAATGGGTCCAACGCGTCTGAGAGGACGGGACCATGACAGCACAATGGGGCGTGGGGGAGAAAGGGAAAGGGTGAGGTCCACGCCACGCGATATAAAGTTGTCCAATGGGTCCAACGCGTCTGAGAGGACGGGACCATGACAGCTCAATGGGGCGTGGGGGAGAAAGGGAAAGGGTGAGGTCCATGCCACGCGATATAAAGTTGTCCAATGGGTCCAACGCGTCTGAGAGGACGGGACCATGACAGCACAATGGGGCGTGGGGGAGAAAGGGAAAGGGTGAGGTCCACGCCACGCGATATAAAGTTGTCCAATGGGTCCAACGCGTCTGAGAGGACGGGACCATGACAGCTCAATGGGGCGTGGGGGAGAAAGGGAAAGGGTGAGGTCCACGCCACGCGATATAAAGTTGTCCAATGGGTCCAACGCGTCTGAGAGGACGGGACCATGACAGCACAATGGGGCGTGGGGGAGAAAGGGAAAGGGTGAGGTCCACGCCACGCGATATAAAGTTGTCCAATGGGTCCAGCGCATCTGAGAGGACGGGCACACGGGGATTAGCACAGCAGGAAGGGGGGCGGAGGTAAGGAGCAATAGAGCACGCATTCTAGGGAGAATATGTGGGGTGAAGGGCTCGGTACGATGCAGGATAAGGGGCGGGATCAGCCGGGGAGAAGGGAGCAGGGCGGCGTATACTCAAAAAAGTCGATGGCGAACTCACAGAGGGAGGAGAGGATGAGGGTGCGACGCGAGGTGAGAGGGAAGGTACGATGCAGGATAAGGGGCAGGAGAAGGGAGACAGGCAAGAACAGGGCGCAGGGCGCAGGGTGCAGGGTGCAGGGTGGGGGCGTACATTCGAAGAAGTCGATGGCGAATTCATTGAGGGAGGAGAGGATGAGCGGCCAGATGGACCAGAGGGCGGGCGAGATGGTGGGGCTGTAGTACGTCATGTATGTGGCGATCTCCAACACCTCCTCGTACAGGTCTGCACCATGCCATGCCATGCCATGCCATGATGGAAATGTGCCCCATGCCATGCCATGATGAAAATGTGCCCCACGCCATACCATGCCATGCCATGACAGAAATGCGCCCCATGCCATACCATGCCAAGCGATGGATAGAAGGAGAGGGAGGCAATGAGACAGTTCCCCACTTCCGTCACCAGACCCTCCAAAGCCAGCATCGAGCCATCTCAGCAACGCACTCTGCGCCTGTGCTGTGCTAAGGTGCTCCAGCGACCCACATGCCCCTCTGCATGCGCGGTAACCCCCTTCCCAGCTGCGCCCCCTACCCAGCCCCCATGTTGGCCAGCACACGTCAGATGAGATGAGATGAGCCCACCTTGGCCGTCAGAGGTGAGCATCTTGTGCAGGATGGGCAGCAGCGTGGGCTCGAGCTGTGGGAAGAGGTGGGGCAGGGAGGAGATGGACTCGAGCACCGTGCCCATGGCGCGCAGACACCCCGCTGCTGCCAGCGCGCTCATGTCATCCACCGCCTCCTCGCTCTCCCCGCCCTCTGCTGCCTCTGATGACCGCACACACTTCCAGAAGGCTGCAGCCTGCACGCACAGCCATGGTGGGGTGACACAGAGACGGGGGGAGATGGGAGAAAGGCTCGTGAATGTGCTTGTGTGCGCTGAGAATTGCTTCTCTCTCCGCCCTCCACTGCTTCTGACGACCGCACACACTTCCATACACTGCCGCCTGTCATGGTGGATTGGTGGTGAGAGGAGGGCATGGGAAGAGATGGAATACAAGCTTATGCGGTGGTTCGCTGCTTTCTAAAACGCATGGGGCGTGGGACAATGGGCATGGCCCACAGGCAAGGCAGGCAATGGCGGGCAGGCCAAGAGGGTGGGGCAAGGAAAGGAGGACAGGGCGGGAGGCCAAGGCATGCAGGGTGGAAAGGGCGGGCAGGGGTGACGTACGAGGTTGTGGATGAGGCCGACGGCGAAGGGCGACATCTCCTCGCCAAACTTCTCCACGATGACCTCCAATGTGAACACCAGGTCCTCGTTCTCCACCTCGTGCATCAGCTTGAAAAAGTCTGTTGGAAGTGGTGACAAGGGGTGGAGAGCGGTGAGAGTGGTGTTGGGTGAGCATCGGCAAGAGTTAAGAGACGTAGGAGCAGTGGAGAAAGAACAACATGATAGGAACGGAACATGTGTGGAGTGAAGCGAGAGCATGAACAATGGCAGCATGGCGTGTGGTGGCATGGCAGGGCGAGGACATACCATCAAGCAGGTTGGGAATAATGGGGCGCAGCTGGTCCAGGTCTGCACACAGAAAAAGGGTCGTGGGAAAAGTGGCGATGGGGAGGTGTTATATGGATGAGTCAGGATGCATGCAGGCATGGTGACTGAAAGAGGGCAGCATGGAAAGACGAGGGGCAGCGAGCACGTGAAAGAGTGAATCGAAATGCAGTAGAGATAAAAGCTGGTAATCAGCTTCTTTCAGCTTTCCTGCCCTGACTGCCACTACACACGTCCTTCACCCTCAGAGGTTTGCCCACCTCACCGCTGACGTCCTTCACCTCACACTCCATTGCATGCATCCACCAAGGAGCGCAGCACCACGACAGCGTAGACACGCATGGGCAGCTCAGGGTCGCACAGCAGCCCCACCACCGCCTGCAGCATCCTTCCGAAGTGCGACACAAATTCACAGGTGTCCTTTTTCTCACCCTCACATGCGCCTCTCACTCACCGTCACAGGCGTCCACGAAGGAGCGCAGCGCCACAACCGCATCCACGCGCACGGGCAGCTCAGGGTCGCGCAGCAACGTCCCCCTCAATTCACTCACCATCACAAGCGTCCACGAATGAGCGCAGGGCAACGACGGCGTCCACGCGCACGGGCAGCTCAGGGTCGCGCAGCAGCCCCACCACCGCCTGCAGTGCCCCCCCGAAGTGAGCCGGGTTGCTGAAAGGGATGTCCGCGTACTGCCCCGCCACCCACGCCGCCTGGGGAGCAGGACGGATGGGGAGGATGGGGAGGAGGCTTGGGATGATGTGGAATATAGGAGGACGGAAATGTTACTTGTTGCTAAAATCTCCACTGTCCAGACTCTTTCGCTTCGACCCACCCTGTTCTCACAACTCCCCTCACCTGCCTCCTCCATCTCCTTTCCCTCAGCCATCCGCTTGCTTTCAACATCTTCCCCCCCCTTTCGTTGGCTTGGTGCACAAGTAGGGGTGGGGGCTGGCGGATTAAAGAAACAAGAAAACGGTTGAGTGGAAACTTACCTTGGCGCGGAGGAAGGCGAAGGGGCTGGTCAATTCGGGGAAGACGTGGGTGAGCAGCATGTGCTCCAGCTGCGCCTTGTACCGCGCCGTGCCCTGCAGCTTCTCATGCAGCGCTCCTATCGCCAGCAGCGCCCCGTCCTTCTGCCTCGCCTGCACCGCCTTCTGATCCACTGCCGCCTCGTTGTACCTGGTGCATGGGATGCATGGGCGGCATGGGTTGCATGGGATGGATGGGATGCATGGGATGCATGGGATGCTGATCAGGATGGTGGTGGAGGGCATTGACCATTCAACCTTTAACGATGGCAAGGCTGTTCTTCTTGCTTTCAGCTTTCAGCGTGCTGGAGCACGGGGCATTCCCCAGCGCATGAGCCCCCACGCTGTGTGCTATCATCCCAGCCCCCAGCACTGAGCGGTTGAGGGAAGAGGTACTGAGCGGTTGAGGGAAGAGGTACTGACCGGTTGAGGATGAGCACGAGCGCGGCGATGAAGGGGTCCTTGCTGCGCTTCGTCACCAGCAGCATGCATGGGATACGCACCTTGCTTGCATGGGGCATGCACCCATGCAAGGGCTACTGACCGGTTGAGGATGAGGACGAGAGCAGCGATGAAGGGGTCCAGCGTGTCCTTGCTGCGCTTCGTCACCAGCTCCGCCAGGAAGTTGAGTGCTGCCGTGCGCGCACTGTACATGTCCTCTATGATGTCTGGATGGGGGGGCGGGAAGCGGAAGGAAGGGAGGGAAAGACTAAGGCCAGAGGCGGGGAGGAAGTATGATGGCCTGCTACTCGTTTCCCTCCCTCCCCTTGCACGCATCACAGCCCTCCTCCCCTCCCTTTACCCACCGTAGCCCTTGCGGACGTATTCGAGGGGGTTATAATCAGCCCAGAGCAGGGCGGCCTAGTCCTCTCCCCCTCTCCCTCCCCAGCGCATCGTTGCTCCTCCCCCCCTCCCCACACTGCACCCACCATAGCCCTTGCGGACGTATTCGAGGGGGTTATAATCAGCCCAGAGCAGGGCGGCCTAGTCCTCTCCCCCTCTCCCTCCCCAGCGAATCGTTGCCCCTCCCCCCCTCCCCACACTGCACCCACCATAGCCCTTGCGGACGTATTCGAGGGGGTTATCAGCCCAGAGCAGCGCGTCCTGGTCGTTGAAGCACAGCAGCGGGAACGCCACCTCGAACTGCAGCACCTGCAGGTGCGGCTTCAGTGACTCGTACAGCGCCTTCTTTGATAGACTGGGGGAGGGAAACGTGGAGGCATGGGGGCAGGCACACGAGGGATGAGCAAGTTAGCCTGGTGGTTGGGCGTGGAGGTTGGGAAGATCATACTAGGGCATTGGAAAGGCATGGGTCAACAAGAGTGGGACACCAGTGCGTGGCATGCTGTTGGTGCCAGTTCGGTGGCATCATGCACGACCCCATACACGCACCTGTAGGTGACGTATTGCATGGCGAGGTTGGTGATGCGGTCGGGCAGGCTGTTGGGGTCGGTGCGCACGGGTGCCAGCAGGTGCAGGTACGAGTTCAGCAGCCGCCCAGCACACTTGTCCGCAAACATGGTGGCGAACGCCTTGTCGTCGCCCTTGGCGTACTTGGGATTGCCAAACCTGTGGGGACGCGGAAGAGAATGGGTGAGTACTGAGATTTATGGTGCCTCAGAACAGGCGGGCAGCGCACTTGTACGCGGACATGGTGGCAAACGTCTTGTCTTCTGCCTTGGTGGACTTGGGATTGCCAAACCTGTGGGGACGTGGAGGAGAATGGGAGTGCGGTGACACGCGAAGGTGGAGGTTACTACGTTGGGACGGCTATGCCCATGCCCACACCACATCACTCACTGCTCCTATGCGTCACGCCCCCTGCTTGCATGGTACGAGTAGAGTAGGGTGAACGCATAGCGGTTGCAGCCTACCCTGCTGCTTACTCGGCCGTACCCATGCCGCTTGCCTATCACCCCTTGATGATCAGCACCTGTGGAACATGCGGTTGATGATGTGCAGCAGCCACTTCTTCACCTTCCACCACGCCCACTGCTTGCGCTGCTCGGGGTCCGTCGGCTGCCCCTCCGTGGGCACAGGTCGCTCAAGCAGCGCGTGGAAGCACTCCATCCACGCCAGGAACACCGCCTCCTGTCGCACCATCTCCGGTACCTTCAACTGTTGTTGGGGATGGGGCGAGTTAGGGGTTGGGGGAATGAGGAGTGAGAAAGGCCGGGTCCAGCAGCGCGTGGAAGCACTCCATCCACGCCAGAAACACCGCCTCCTGTCGCACCATCTCGGGCACCTTCAACTGCCGTGGAGGTTGGGGGTTGGTGTGATAGGGAGATGGGGAGATGAAGGAACAGAAAGAGAGGGAGATGGGGGAATGGGGAGGGAGGTTGGAAGAGAGAGAAAAGGTGGCAGCCGAAGAGCATGTAACCTCCTCCGTTCACGCAGCATTGCTTAGAAACGCATGCCGATTCACACGGGTGGCACAGTGGCACTCAGGCGGATTGCTTTCAATCACATGGGCACTCACGTAGCAGGCGGACCAGAAGATCTTGAGCACGAGCTTGATGTACTCGGCAATCTCGAGGGACGGGTTGGGCACAGCCAGCAGCTGCTGCAGAATCACCAGCAGCTGCGGAAACGTGCTGGTTACCACCTCGTGCACTGGCACGCGGTCCTCCTCGTCCTTGAACCTGCACGCACGCACACGGGGAGAGGGGAGAGTGGACGTGAGGGAGTGGACATGGGGACAGGGAGATGGGACGAGTGAATAGAAGATAGCAGGTGCGGGGCGACGGGAAGGGACGGGGAGGGAAGGAAACGTGGTGGTCAGCTGCTTGGGCACGCGGTCGTCGTAATTTTTGAGCATTTTCGACCATGGCGGGGGAAGGGTGAGGGGAGGAAGTGATGGCACTACGCCATGAGTAGATTCACGCCGCCCGTAACTCAAATTCACCAGTGGCGCAGCACGTACTCGTACTCACTCGCAGCCCGCCCCAGCACAGGATGTAACGTACTCCCACGCGTCGCATCCCAGGCACCTGTTGGCCACGATCCCAGTGCCCCACCAACAGGACCTACTCGTATCTGCGTGCTCCCCACTACGAGTGTACCCCACCATCCCAGGCACGTACTCGTATTTGCGCGCAAGCACGCGCACGACGACGAGCGCGCCGTAGACGCGCGGCTGGTCGGGGCTGTGCAGGTTGGCGAGTGCCTGCTGCAGCAGCGCCGGCATGCGCTCCGGATAGTCGCTCTGCACCACCGCCTTGAGCACCTCGATCAGCTGCGACCTGCGGAGGGTGCAGAGGGGGGAAAGCGGCAAGGGGGGGGGGAGTGGAAGGAGAGTGAATGGGTGTGAGGGGTGTCAGGTGAACGGGAGTCAGGGATCTAATAAGCAATTGCGGCTTCAAGACGACTATACAAGACGATTACAGAAGGGCAGGGGTGAATAGGAATCGAAGACGGGAATGCGCGGAAAGCAAACGATGCACATGAAGCGCGGGAATGCGAGGGCAGGACGGCAGTGGACCTGATGAGCGGCGGGCAGCAGATGACGGCCTCAACGAGGTTGTCCCGCACCGCCGCCACGTCACCTTCAGAGAACAGCGGCGAGCCTGCTGGGATCGCAGTGGACGGAACGGGTACACTTAAAGTCGACGCTCATCTGACTACACGAATCCCATCACCCGCCAATCGCATCCTATATCATCAACCCACCCCGATCCCATCCCTCGCCCTCGCCGAACACGGATAGCCACATCCGATATAGCACTCGAGTTCCACCTGGTTCGTTACAAGACGGTGCGTTGACTTCCTTCCCCGTAGTTTATCCCATGGTCTGTTCTCACACAGCCGCATTCTCGAATTCGTTGTCAGGCACTGATTAGAACGAATGTTTATAACGAGGCGACGACTCACCTGCAGCGGCGGCCTCGGTAGCGTCGGATTTGGTTCTCCAGTTGCGCGACACGGTGTTCTTGAAGTGAATGGCCGCCACCTGGCGGATCGCGAGGTCCACGTCAGCACGGACGACCATCTGCAGCAGCGCCACGAGATGGCCCGGCACGAACTGGTTCTGCCCATTCGGAATGGCACAGAGGGAACGAGGACGCGCGCAGGGGGACGAGAAGATTACGGCGAGGAGATCACACGGACGAAGACGACGAAAGGAGTTAGTTTGGCGTCGCCTGAGAATGCGACAATGCGAGACCGCATCGATTCTAAGGTTAGGTTGTAGCAATGCTCGTGCTCCTCGGTCATGCTTACATTCTGCTAGGTAAGTTGTAAGAAAGGAAAACTAGCGATTTACTAAAAAGGATTCACATCCACAAACAGTAGGATCAACGGACGGGACGATCTACGGACAAGATAATCGACGGACATGATGATCTACGGACAAGAGGATCTACGGACGATATGACCTATGGACGGGACGGACGGGATGACCTACGGACGGACCTGCACGAGGTGAGCCTCGCCGGCCTTGCGCTCCTCGGGGTTGGCGCTGAGGGCCTGCTGCAGCACGCCGGACAGCTGCGCTAAATCCATGGCGGCGACACGCACGAAACAAGCGCAGCAGACGCAATTCGCGGATCCGCGAACGGGCAGTCGAGGCTAGAGCGGGCTAGAATCTCGCAGATGCAGAGATACAACGCGTGGTGTGCTGTGCCTCGAGCTTGCCAGGCAAAAAGAGCACAACCACGGAATTCTCGAGAAATTTATTCTGTGAGGCTGGAAGGGTGATGGCTTCAGGCGTGATGGGATGGGATGTGATGTGATGACTTCTGGGGCATCCATGCTGTGATGAGCACCCATCTACGAGATTCGCCAGGGAACGGAATGAGTTCCCAAGAGCCTGACGGGTTCAGGGTTCAGGGGTTTTTTCGTGGAAAACTAGTGGTCCTGAAGTGTCGCACACGGCGGGGCGGCGTGGAGTTTCAGGGTGCCGTGGCGACAAGTCAACGACGGTTGCGAGGTATCCACCAATATTGGAACATTCTGCTCCGGTAACGGAGACAGCAAGTTGTTCTCCATCACTCTGGGAATGTTACATAATGAACACTTACTATCTAAGCATTGAAAATTAGCCATCTGAACAGGTGTACCTTAGGTTGTGCCAATCCGCCCTAAATGCTCAAGATGGGTCACAGGGCAGTTTCCCTAACAAAGACGAGCCCAGCAGGTGCGGCTATCAGGCCTGGTGGCAAAAGACCAGGCAAGCCCTGGAAATTATTTGCACCAAACAAACACCAGCTGATGTCCTCCCAGTTTCAGCTTTGATGCTGGATAGCCAGGGCATCAATCCCTCGTCCGAGTCCTCACAGGAAGCGCTGCAATGGGAAGCCGCAGCGAGAAACAACTTCAAACCTTGAGGTGCTTTGCACCAAGAGGGGGGCACACCGAGAATCACATTCACTTCACACCGCACTGCTTCACGCAAGCGCAGCTACAGGCTCCTCAGCAGCAGGCGCCTTGGCTTCTGGCGAGTTGGCTTCGCTGGGCGGCACGAGCTGCCAGAAGAGCGGCAGGAACTTGTCCCACTCCACCAGGATGGCAATCGCCTTGGCACTGCCCGTCAGATCCTGCTCAGCACACAGAGAGGGTGGGGAGGGAGGAGATGCATGTGAGTGGGGAAAGTAGGGATGCTGGTACTAACACAGATACACCTTACACAGAGAAACAAGGTCGAGTGCAGGCAGGCACGGTGCGAGTTGGTGTGAGTGGGTGCAAAGAGAGAGTACCGCATGGTCCTGGATGAGTGACTTGAGCTGCTCCTGGCCCCCTGGAGACACCACTCTCTGCATCGCCACAATCTCCCGGTTCACCTGAGGAATCACATGCAGGTAGCCAGCCAGATACAGCAAGGTTAGGAAGATGAATGCAGTAGAAATCCCTGATGTTTAGAGAAAAGAAAAGAGGTGATGAGGGCGCAGTCGGGACAGAGATCACCCACATTAACACAGAAGGGGAAGGGAGACGAGAAAGCAATTGATGGTGAGAAAGGATGGGCCACGGACCTTGGGGGAGAAGGTGTCGTCCTCATCAAGGAAGTAGCCGATGCCTCCCGTCATGCCTGCTGCCACGTTGCGCCCCACCCTGAGGTGGAGAAGGAGAGAGTGAGAAGGCCACAGAGAGAGACAAGTGGTAAGGCTCAAATGAGCAGAGTGAACACAACGTGAGGCTGATAACGAAGCCAGGCAACTGGCAAGAACTGAACCATTGCCCGGAATCACATATCGTCCAGGACCAAACCCAACAGCATCATTCACACCCTCATATCATTCTAACCCCCCACTGGGACTCACTTGCCAAGCGCCACGACAACGCCGCCAGTCATGTACTCGCAGCAGTGGTCGCCCGCGCCCTCCAGCACGGCCTGCGCGTTGGAGTTGCGCACCGCAAAGCGCTCCCCCGCACACCCGCGCACAAACAGCCGCCCGCCCGTGGCACCGTAGAGGCACGTGTTGCCGATGATGGTGGCTGTCTCGGCCTTGAAGGTCGCTGCCTTGGATGGCACCACCACAATCTGCCCCCCTGCCATGCCCTGCAACACAGAACGAGGGGGAAGGAAGGTGTGGGGGGAGGGAGTTGAGACAAGAAAGCATGTAGGGAGGAGGAAAAGGTGAGATTGGGAAGGGCAGAACGGAAGAGGTTGCTGCCTAACGTGCTGGGCAGACAGGTGTTGCGGTTCTGGTGGCATAGCGTCTCCTTTCTAGCCCATACCTTGCCCACATAGTCGTTGGCCTCCCCAATGAGCCGAACGTTCATGCCGCCGGCCAGGAAGCACCCAAACGACTGCCCTGCGCTGCCCTTGAACCTGCAGACATGAATACACACGAGGACGGAAAATCTTCATATGGGAGAACGTGGGGCGTGATCTGGGCAGGGCATATGTGAGTCGAGAGAGGGCATATGTGAGTCGAGAGAGGGCATATGTGAGTCGAGAGAGGGCATATGTGAGTCGAGAGAGGGCATATGTGAGTCGAGAGAGGGCATATGTGAGTCGAGAGAGGGCATATGTGAGTCGAGAGAGGGCATATGTGAGTCGAGAGAGGGCATATGTGAGTCGAGAGAGGGCATATGTGAGTCGAGAGAGGGCATATGTGAGTCGAGAGAGGGCATATGTGAGTCGAGAGAGGGCATATGTGAGTCGAGAGAGGGCATATGTGAGTCGAGAGAGGGCATATGTGAGTCGAGAGAGGGCATATGTGAGTCGAGAGAGGGCATATGTGAGTCGAGAGAGGGCATATGTGAGTCGAGAGAGGGCATATGTGAGTCGAGAGAGGGCATATGTGAGTCGAGAGAGGGCATATGTGAGTGGAGAGAGGTCATCTGGGTCCAAACCTACAGGGGACGGATCTTGAGGCTCAGACTGCTGCATGGGGCACATGCGGTGCACGGTGCAACCACAGTGCCGGGAGGGTGGAGGAGATAAGAGGCTAAGGATGATGCAGAGGGGGAGGGGGCAGTGGGGCCTCACGTGATCTTGACGGCGCCTGTGAAGCCCGAGTCCCCATGGCGCTTGGCAATGGCACCCGCCACACGGCCACACGTGGAGCGGTCCGTGTTGACGATGGGCGTGGCGAGCTGCACCACCTTGTTCTGCTCTATGGCCGCCATCACGGTGGGGTTGGCGAGGAGCGCGTCGTCCAACATGGGTCCATTGGAGTGCACCTCCTGTGCCATGCGCTCACTGCTGCTCGCTGATGACACCCCGGGGTACTGCCATGTGCGGACAGACGAGCGGGAGGAATGTGAGGGGGTGGTGGAGGGAAGAGAGGGAAGGGGGGGGGGGTTGAGAACACTGTGGCATGCTGGAGTGCACCTCCTGTGCTATGCACGCTGAGCTGCTCTGCTCCGACACGACACCCCGGGGTACTGGTGGCATGGGGAGCATGGGGGAGACAGGGGAGGGGAGTACATTGTTGTGTGAGGATGGAGGAATAATGGATTGGGTACGCATATGTATGTTGAGATGTGACATCACAGCAAGGACAGTTGGAATCAATGGCATGTATGAATCAATGTGAAACAAGGACACGCCCATGCAGTGAGGAAAGAGGAGGAGCGTGCATGGTGGGAGGGGGGGGTTTATGCATGCATGGCAGCAAGTATGAAGTGAGGAGGGCAAAAAGGGGAGGCATCTACGATGAGGGGCAGCATACAGTGAGGAGGTAGGAGAGGTCGATGGAGTTGGTCTTAGTGAGTAACACGTCCCTGGCCTTGAGTGCGTCCACTCGCCCCACCAGCTCGTCCAAACTCCTCATGCCCAGCGACGCCAGCCCAACCCGCACCTGCAGGGCGCGGGGCGGAGAGAGATGGGTGGCAAAGGGTGGAGTTGGACGAGTGAGGAGGGGAGGCGATGGACTAGCAGGGAACGGATGAGGGAATACCCAGGAAAGGGGAAAGGGGGAAGGGATACGTGCAGGCAGGTCCAAACTCAACATGCCTCGAAAAGGAGGAGAGCAAGAGCAAGCGAGAGAGGAAGAAGGAAGGAGAGCGAGAGGAGAGGGCGAGTGCGAGGGAGTGGCACTGACCTCCTCTGCAACGAAGACAAAGTAGTTGACCAGGTCTGATGGCACCCCTGGGAAGCGCGCCCTCAGCTCCTCCCTCTGCGTCCAAACACACACGTGGACAGTAGCAAGGGGGGGAGAGGCCCCGGGGCAGACACAGGGAAAGGGGAGAAGCGGAAAAGAGAGGTGAGAGAAAGAAGCAAGGGGGCATGGGAGGAGATGAACATACGGAGTTTAGGGTAGGACGGGAGGAAGGAGAGGCGACACGTATGATCAAAACAGTATGAGGCAGCTGCCTGATAGCAACAAATATTATCCCCAGAACCAGCATTTCCTGCAACAGCCACCTGCTGAAGGCGATGCTATGGTACCTGAGAGGCGACCCCCACGGGGCAGTTGTTGGTGTGGCAGATGCGCGCCATGATGCACCCTGTGGCGATCATGGCCAGCGACCCGAAGCCAAACTCATCGGCGCCCATGGCGGCGGCGACGAGCACGTCCGTGCCGCACTTGATGCCCCCGTCCACCCTCACAACCACGCGGTCCCTCAGCCCGTTGGCCACCAGCGTCTGCATGTGGGGGGTTGGTGAGAGGAAAAGTTGAGTTAAAGAGGAGAAAGAAAGGGAAAACGCCCATGTGAAGTGCAGCATTGCTGAGGCTGGTGTGTTTCACAGACCTCCATTTCCCCTCCCATATGTTCTTCACAGCCTTATCCCATCCCACGAGTTTCCCTCTACCCCATCCCACCTGGTGCGTCTCAGTGAGTCCCATCTCCCAGGGCCCGCCGGCGTGCTTGATGGAGCTGATGGGGCTGGCGCCCGTGCCCCCGTCATGCCCCGAGATCTGAATGATGTCCGCATTCGCCTTGGCCACGCCGCTCGCCACTGTTCCGATGCCCGCCTCCGCCACCAGCTTCACTGACACCTTGGCCGCTGGGTTCACCTGGGTGGGTGGGAGAGGAGCGTTCCAAAGGAGAGACGGGTCAGAGAAACGGCAGAGTGAGTGGAGCCTGGGTGTACATGCGTGCATGTCATACAGTGCTACCCTTTACAAGGGCGGAGGACATGATTCACGCATGCAGATAAAAGCCCGTGCCCCCATACCTGGTGGAGGTCAAAGATGAGCTGGGCGAGGTCTTCAATGGAGTAGATGTCATGGTGGGGCGGCGGTGAGATGAGCGGCACGCCCGGCTTGGAGCTCCTGAGCTGCGCAATGTACGGCGACACCTTCTTCCCCGGCAGCTGCCCGCCCTCCCCCGGCTTCGCCCCCTGCGCCACCTTAATCTCCAGCTGATCCGCATTCGCCAGGAACGTCGGCGTCACTCCAAACCGCCCCGACGCCACCTGCTTGATCGCACTCGTCGCCTTGTCACCATTCCTCAACCCCTTGAGATGGGGAAACGTGGGCGAGCGCCCGTCTGCATCCACATCCTCCAGCTCCACCCAGCGCATGGGGTCCTCTCCGCCCTCCCCGGAGTTGCTCTTCCCGCCCAGCCGGTTCATGGCGACGGCGATCACCTCGTGGCACTCCCTGGAAATGGCACCCAGCGACATGCCTCCCGTGCAAAATCTCGTGGCAATCGACGCCGCCGACTCCACCTCCTCCAGAGGAATCGCTGCACGGCTCGCACTATCCAGCTCTAGCAAGTCACGCAGGACGTTGACGGGGCGCGTGGCGAGGTGCGCCTGGTAGGCGGCGTAGGCGGTTTGTTCCCCCTGGCGCACGGCCTTGTGCAGCAGCTTGCTCATCTCGGGGTTGTTACTGTGGTACTCGCCGCCCTGCCTCACCTGCAGGAACCCCATGTTCTCCAGCTTCCCCTTGCCCTCCGCGCCAAACCCCTTGGCCCAGAACGTCAGACTCTCGTTCGCAAGCTGGGGATACGGCGGGGGCAGGGGGGAGGGAAGACAGGGTGTCATGGACCTTGGTATACAGTGCAAACCTTCTGTCCACAGCACAACATGGCACAGCATGCAGTGGTATCTGCACTGTAAATGCTGTAGACAGGAGGAGGAAAAAGCAAGGCAAGGCTCACCTCGTCCAGGGTGAGCCCCCCAATACGGGAGACGGAGCCCTTGAAGGCGCGGTCCACGACCTGGGCGCCGAGCCCGTAGATCTCAAAGATCTGCGCCCCACAGTAGCTGGACAGCAGCGAGATGCCCATCTTGGACAGAATCTTCATCAGCCCCTTCTCGATTGCCTGCAGTGAAGGGAAATACAGAGAGATGGGGGAGGGGGGGGGTGTGGGGGTTCAGTAAGTTTAGAATCAGCTTGCGGCTGTCAGAGATTCATTTGCCCACAAACAGCAATGAGCAATGAAGCGCCACAGTCGCTTGACAGCAGTGAGATGCCTGTCTTCGGCAATAGCGGAGCAATGGGCTCACCTTGCGGTAGTTGAGCTGCGCCTGCTCCGAGGTGACAGTGGGCAGCTTGCCAAACGTCATGAGCTTCTGCGTCTTTTCACTCGCGCGCCACTGCCGCACCGTCTCCAGTGCCCCATACGCACAAACAGCACTGGCGCCATACCCCACCAGGCACGCAAAGTGGTGCGTGCTGAAGCACTGCGCCGTCTCCACCACTATCGACGCATTCAGGCGCTTCCCACTGCGGATCAGATGATGGTGCACCGCACCGATTGCCAATAACGCCGGGATCGCCGGCCGGGTGGCGTCGAGCTGGTCGGCGTTGTCCGACAGCACTAGCAGCTGCGCTCCGGAGTCAACGGCAGCGTCAGCAGCAGCACAGAGGGCGTCGAGGCCACGGGAGAGGGCGCCCTCTACGCCCTGGGAGACGTCGAAGAAGATGGGCAGGCGCGCTGCTGCGAGCTGCTTGTCTTCCATCAGCTCCTGCAGCTCCGCCTCGTTCAGCACTGGCGAGGTCAGTCGCACCACGTTGGCATGCTCAGCGCCGACGTCAAGGATGTTGTCTCGCCGCCCCAGCGCCATCTCCAGTGACATCACCAGGCCCTCCCTCAACGGGTCGATGGCCGGGTTCGTCACCTGCAGGGGTGTGACGGGAGGGAGTTGCAACAGCAACCGGGGTTGTGAACACACAGTGAATTTCGAGCTACGCTATGCAAAAGCCAGCTTGGGAGCCAGAGAGAGCCATCTCTACAATGTAAAAATAGTTTCCCTGGGGTCACGGGAGAAGGGCGTCCGTGCATGGAACAGACTTGCACGTCACAAGAACGGGACTGGGTGCCAGCACAACGCACCTGGGCGAAGCGCTGCTTGAAGTAGTTGTAGAGGAGGTGGGGGCGCGCAGACAGCACGGGGAGGGGCGTGTCGTCGCCCATGCAGAAGGTGGGTTCTATGGCCTGCGCTGCCATGCTCTCTATCACCATCACCACGTCCTCACTCGAATACCCGTACGCACTGTCAGGGTTCGGTGGGGGGAAGGGTGGGGGTGGGAAGGGTTGGGCAGCAAAAGGAGCCGCATTGATGCCTGACAGGTGGACAGCAGGGGGGTGTGTAGATGGCTGCGTGCTGCTGCATCGAGAAAGCGGGGATGGGAAGTGGGGATACAGGAGGAGCGGCAGGTGGAAAGCAGGGAGCACAGGGCTCACTTTTGCCTGCGGAGCACTTCGTCGGGAGAGAGGGCTGGCTCAGCGGTGAACGGCATGGGGACAATCTTCCGCGACTGGTGGCGTGGTACAGGGAGAGCGGGAGAGGTGTAATAGGGTGGGGTTGGTTGGGGGGGTGAGGTTGGTGGAGGTTAAGGGAAGACATTGAGAGCGGGATGAGTGCAAGCAGAACGCGGGGAACGGGATGATGGATAAGGGAAAGTAGGAAGGGAAGGGCAACGCTTGAGCTTGAGAGATACACGTTACAAGCCAGATAGCTGCTCAGATGATATCACACAAGCAACTAACAGACCAGCCAGCATCCCCCAGCACGCCATTGCGTGCCCCCAAACGCACTCACCTCCTTATCGAGCCACTCCTTAAAGGGGTGTGCGTTCGCCACCTGCCTCTTGATGGCCGTGTTAGACAGCACCTGGGGGTAATGCACAGTGGGGAAGGGATAAAGGCGGTGCAGGGGCGGGGTGATATCAGAGAGATAGAAAGAAAGGTAAGACTGTGAGTAAGGCATCTTCTGGAATGCTGGCTTCAGCACAGCACAGCACAGCACAGCACAGCACAGCACAGCACAGCACAGCACAGCAGTGCAGATGAGAGGCATGGGGAAGCGTGGGTAGGCAAGCAGCATCTCTCACCTCGCCCGTGTGCAGGTCAACGGAGATCATCATGCCCGGCCCCAGGCGGCCCTTGCTCACAATGCTCGCCTCGTCCATGTTCAACACTCCCACCTGCCCTCATGGGGTTGGAGGGACAGGAAGAGCCAAGGAAGGAAGTGAGCACAATTGCACCACCTGTTCTGTGTGCACTTACAAAACGGTTCATTCTGCATCCTTATCACTGATTGAGTGAATAACTCAGGGGAAGACGGGGTTACAAGTTGGACGGGAGGGGAGAGGATGGGAGGAGAGAGGGACAGGAGGCCATGCTGTACCGCAGTAAGCAAGGAAAGAACGATAGGGTTGCGAAGGGAGAGGACTCACGAAGCACACCCGGGAGGGGGCAAAGAGAGGGATTACCTCAGAGGCAACGTAGAGCATGTCATCGTTGGTCCTCCAGTACCGTGCTGGGCGCAGCCCGTTGCGATCCAGACACGCTCCCACTGTCCTCCCATTGCTGCCGTTCCCAAGGGGCGGGTGGACGAGATGGGGGAGAGAGATGATTGGGCAGTACAAGCATCAGAGTTGTTTTCAAGTTGAGAAAACGATGTGGACACTGACGTGTCAAGATGTGAGAATCTAAGAGCTTTTATCCCGTTTGAGAAACATGCAGCAGGGGAAATGCAGGGATACATGCACACATGAGGCTGGGCGTACCTGAAGACGAGCAGGGCGGGTCCATCCCACGCCTCCATCTGCGACTTGTAGTACTCGTAGAAGCTCACCACCTGTTGAGACAAGGCGTGTACAGCACAAGAGGAAACATAGTTGCGCTTGTTTCTGGTTATTTTTTCGTTTCCTTTACCTCTATTAGGCCAGATTATGGCCCCGCAACCAGAAAGTGACCTACACACTACGCCCATCCAAGTCTGCAAACCCCTCAAGCAGAGCGCAAGGGGAAATGCCTGTGAAATGAAATGACAAGAAACACGTACCTCGGGGTACTTGGCGGAGAGCGTGGGGTGGTTCTGGTAGGCCTCAGGCACGAGCATCATCAGCACCTCCTCTGGCCTCCTGCCACTGTTCAACAACAGCTGCGGACCACCAAAGGGGGGAAGGGGAGGGAAGGGGGGGAGGGAGGGAGAGGGAGGGAAGGCAGAGATAAGGGTATGGCGTAAGTGGGAGGTGGGATGATGGAGTGACGGAATAGGGAGAGTGACGAATGTTCATGAATGACGTGGTCATGCATTTGCTTGTAACTTCTCCTTGCAGTAACAACACCTCCTCAGCCATGACCTCCATGATTACAACCAGCACCCAGAACGTCCGTCCTCCCAGCACCATCACTCCATCCATCCACCCCACCACAGCCCCTCACCTCAGCAACACCGTCCAGATTAGCCGAGTCAGACGCAGCGAGGTTAACCACGGGGAAGATATCCGCCTCGCGGCCACGCCACACGGGGGACGTGAGCGTGGGCTCACGCGACACCATCCAGTTGAGGTTGCCCTGCAGCGTGTTGATCTCGCCGTTGTGACCCAGGAACCGCATGGGCTGCGCCAGCAGCCACTTGGGCGTCGTGTTGGTGCTGAACCGCCGGTGGTAGATCGCAAACGGGCTGCGGAACAGCTCGTTCTTCAGGTCCGCGTAAAACGCCCCCACCACCGCCGCGCGCAGCATCCCCTTGTAGATAATCGTCTTGCTGGACAGCGAGCAGAAGTACAAATCGTTCAGGGGGTGCTCTGTGGCTGGCACCCCCGCGGCTGCTGCCTCTGCTGCGATGGTGCGCGCGACCGCCTTCTCAATGAGCTTGCGCAGGATGTAGAGCTCGCGCTCCGTGTCGTCGGGAGCGAGGCCAGGCACGGAGAGCACGAGCTGCTGGATGGCGGGCAGAGTGACGCGCGCGAAGGGGCCCACCACGGCCTCGTTCACTGGCACCTGGCGCCACCCCACCACCTCCAGCCCGTGCCCCTCCTCCTTGATCACCGCCTCCACCACTGGGAAGAGGACGCACGGTGACGCAAGGAGAAAAGTGTGAGACGCTACGTAATGAGTCGGAGAAGGCCGAGTGCGTCTATAGATGGCGGTTCCACTAAACCATGAACCCTCGAGTGACTGTCCTGGCCAGTGCTCACTTCCGCCACCTGAGGCGGCGTTTTATTTCGGTTGCATTTCACACTTCCGAAAAAGTACACGAACATTAAGGCTGCGCCCGTTCCTCTTCTCTACCACTTCGGATACTCTCTCCCTCTCGGCAGTCCAAAGTCGCCGAGTCCTACTCCCCTGCTCCTGTCGCAACACTTCGGGCCTAACTCGCTCCCGGGTAGGAAACCCGTGGTAGCGTGCATCGACTGTTGGGTTCCTCCTGTTGTGTTCCTGGTTGTGCATGAAGCTTAATTCTCTCCTGAGTAAATATAAGCTCACGTTTCTTGGCGGTCTCGGCGTCGCTTTCCTTCTTCGGCAGGAACACCATGCCCACGCCCGTCGCGGCGCGGTCGAGCGGGCCGCGACCGTTCTCCTGCTGCCAGCTGTCGAGGAGATCCCAAGGCACGGCCGTCATGAGCCCCGCGCCGTCGCCCGAGTCGTTGTCGGCGCTGCACCCGCCGCGATGCTCCATGCACCCCAGCGCCGTCAGACCCTGCGCGGGGGAGCGGAGGGAAGGGGAAAATAGGATCACCGCTGAACTATTGTCGGCGCTGCACCCGCGCGATGCTCCATGCACCCCAGCGCCGTCAGGCCCTGCGCGGGGGAGCGGAGGGAAGGGGGAAATAGGATCACCGCTGAACTATTGTCGGCGCTGCACCCGCCGCGATGCTCCATGCACCCCAGAGCTGTCAGGCCCTGCGCGGGGGAGCGGAACGTAGGGGGAAAAGGGTTGACGGATGCGAGAGCACATGGCCAAGGCAGAGCTCGAGAAATGGTCTAACTGGCCGTTGTTAGCGTCGCATGCACACTAATTCTGGAGCGGTGGGGACGAGGATGTGACTGGTTGTAAAGGCTTTTTGCGAAGGATGTCGACCGCGAAGCGGGGGAGAAACCGTGGGGAGATGAGCACGACGGCGTGAATGAAGGACTCGGCATTGTCGCAGGAGAAATTGAGCAGCTTCAGAGCAAGAAAAGTGTTACCTGCTCGATAATCTTATGCGTGGACTCGTTCTTTAGCGATGCGATCAGGCCGACACCGCACGCTCCGTGCTCCTTGAGGAGCTCCTCCGCGTCCGCCACCTGCGGATATCCGTAACGACGCAAGACATGCATGAATCAACAGCACTGAGATGCCACGCGAGACGGTTTCTCATTCGACGCTCTACACCAGTAGCGTGCAAAAATGCTGCAGTTCAAAAAGGACTTGGAACCTACTATTATTAACCAAAGATCGACAAAAAAAGGAAGTAGAGTTCGCTAAACGCACAACGAAGGGGAAACTCTACCTCGTAGGCCTTCTCGACGCCATCCGTCGCAACATTTGTCGTCGAGTACACAGCAGTCGCACGCGACAAGTTAAAGCGACAGCTTGCGACATTGGTCGTATCACGAACGGCCACACGTCTGCAGACAGCAGCACCGGAGAGAAACCTAGACCTTGCATGCACTGCCACGGATGCTCCGAAAAAAGACGACGCCTTTCCTCCCTTCTTCCCGCTAGTCGTCTGAAGATCGGCTAGAATTTGAGTACCTCGCGCGAGCAACACTGACTGCTTTAATACCGCTGATGCCATGGACGGTGACAGGTAAGTGCTCAGTCAGGTTTCGGCGAGCGTCGGTGCTCGTGCAGTGAATTCAGCCGTCAGGGGGGAAGCAGCCCTGTGGGCCTTGCAGGAGCTTGCGTAACAGCAGAGCAAGCTATGGCGAAGCACGCAGACTAGAAAATGAGGAAGAGGAAAGCATCTGTGCTTTATCTTCTTGCAGGAAAAGATGGGTGGATCGTGGTGGTTGATGGGAGAGGGGGAGGAGACATGTTGGACCTTGGGGATGTTGGTGACTTTAGGACGCGTCACAATTGCGATATCGAACCTGCGGGAGATCGATGTTTCGGGTGTACAGTAATTCGCTATGACCTGTATCCCTTTTTCGCAAAATTTTGTTATACCCGATACACATCACCGAACGCGATGTCACTTCCAAAACGATCTGTCACCGCACTCAAAAAAAAAGCTTCTAACCCTGCTAACTTTCGTACCTGAAGACGATTGCGACACATCTGGCTCGGAGGAGATCGACGCTACTTCTTCGGGGTGTAACCTGAACCTCCGCGATGTCGCAATTGTGACACATCCTTATTGGTTGGCTTAGAGCCTTGGGATCTGTGTGGTGGTGAGGTTCTGCTATCCGGGTTGGTGTGAAAAGCTTCGGTAATCGGGGTTGGATGAATTTGACGGCGAGGCAAGCAATCGTGACAATCTTCGTTTCTCCACAAATTTCAGGAATTGAGATCAGTTTCAATGAGGGAGCAGAAACCCGTCCCTCGTCAGTTTCAATGAGGCTACAGCACATACATGCATACACATCTGTCCTCTCATTGGCTTTATTAGCGCCGTCGTGGCGTACCTCGAGTGGATTGACTGACCACGGGGAGCTCAAGCTACACGCGCATCCAGTTATCTTTCAAGCAAGGGGTCATTATGACGTGGCGATGCAGATGAAGGCTCACGATGCATCGGATTCGTTACGCTGGTCGCATTTGCATCATCCAAGATGGAAGGTTCTGATCCACACGAATGTGGAGACTGGTACTCTCCCCTAAAGAATACCACACTAAATGCTACACGCTCAAAACTGTCATACGTAAGCTTCAGACCAAGGCAATGGTTAAAGGCAGGGTCTCAAGTAGACCAAGTGTTTTGCAGTCGATGGAAAAAGCGCCTGTCTGATTGGTTCACAATTTTGGGACCAAAGTTTTGTCAAATTAAAGGACACATCCAGAATTACCGAGTCGGCCCCAAAACTGTCACCACTTTCACGTGATTGGTCGAAAGTTTTGAGTGTGTATTTGACGCGATTGGTTCTCGATTTTCCCACCGAACCTCCTTCTGGGGTTTTCCGGACCTACAATTCTTTCGTTGACTTCGTTGTGTAATTCGGGGTGTGGCCTTTAAGACTCGCCAAAGAACCGACTTTTCACCCAATGCTTTGCAGTTGCACAGCCAACCCATACATGAGACCCTGGCTTTAAGTCTGTCAACTAGTGGCTCTACTCCGCCAACCCACACACAAAATTACCCCGCAATGCCTCTCTTTTCCTTTCCGATGCATGCTCGTTGCTTATGTCTTGTTTGCATCTTGCGTCACATCCAAAATTCCTGGCACTGCCACTACTACTGCATTGTTATAATGTCCCATCCCAAGTTCCAGGCACTGCCACTACTACGGCAAGTAACCGTACGATGTCCCAAGTTCCTGGCACAGCTACTATTACTGCTGTGTTACCATATAAGATCCCAAGTTCCTGGCACTGCCACTACTACTGCAGTGCTATAAATGTCCCAAGTTCCTGGCACTGTCACTACTACTGCAGTATTATCATGTCCCAAGTTCCTGGCACTGCCACTACTACTGCAGTATTATTAATGTCCCAAGTTCCTGGCACTGTCACTACTACTGCAGTATTATCATGTCCCAAGATCCTTCCTGGCACTGCCACTACTACTACTGCAGTGTATAAGAGCTCGACCATGGGGTCAACAGCTCTGACAGGGAGGAACGAAGTAGAGAGCAGGTACAGTGAAAGGGATTCTTATCGTATGATGATGGCAGCAATGGCACAGTGGATTTGAGGACTGGTGCTGACTTTTGTTGACTGATATTGACTGACATGTTGCTGCTCTGCCGCCCACAACACAGCTGCATCCACCACTCTGCCACGTGCACAACATTCACCCTGAGGATGGATGGGGGAAGAATGCAGCAAATAGACTGGCCTAGGGCAGAGGTCAGGCAATGAATCAAAAAATGAGTGCAGCAGAGAGAAACCAAGGAAACTCAAATGAGTGGGGTGGCATTGGAGGCAGAAACTCAGATTTGGGCAAAACGCAGGTCAAGGTGGGCAATAACACCGAGAGGAGATCAAGACTGAGAAACTCGAAATTAATTGTTGGGAAGCATAAGCAATCGCGTGCACAGCGAAAATTGAGTGGTGGGAGGGGGAAGGAGTGGGGAGGGGGGAACGGGGAAGGCGCATGGCGACAGTGGCCCACGGCACTAGAGCAGCGAGCTGAGCCAGCGAGGGGGGACTGGGGGACGCACGCATGGCATGAATGCACTCCCTCTCCACTACTCTATCCCACCACTCCCACTACACTGCACTCTACATGAGCTCTGCTGCCATAGCACCACGGACCACCACCACCATCATGAAAAGCGAAAGAGACAGATGGGGATAGCGAAGGAGAAAGGGAGAGGAGGGGTGTGCGGAGACGAGACTTAGCTAGAGGAGAAGCGTGGACGCAGAGAGTATGTTGCCCAAGGCAGCAGCAGCAAGCAGCAGCGTCCAATGCATCTCGTCCCATGTGAGGGCGGGGCGTGCTGCTATAAGGGGGCTGTGAGGGCGGGGTGGGGCGGAGCTCACTGACTGGAGCTCACTGACTGGGAGGCTGTGAGGGAGAGGCGCCCCTGCTCTGGGGGGCTGATGCTGATGCTGATGCGCTGATGCTGATGCTGATGCGCTGATGCTGATGCTGATGCTGATGCGCTGATGCTGATGCTGATGCGCTGATGCTGATGCTGATGCGCTGATGCTGATGCTGATGCGCTGATGCTGATGCTGATGCGCTGATGCTGATGCGCTGATGCTGATGCTGATGCGCTGATGCTGATGCTGATGCTGATGCTGATGATGCTGATGCTGATGCTGATGCTGATGATGATGCTGATGCTGATGCTGATGCAGATGCTGATGCTGATGCTGATGCTGATGCTGATGCTGATGCTGATGCTGATTCTGATGCTGATTCTGATGCTGATGCTGATGCTGATTCTGATGCTGATTCTGATGCTGATTCTGATGCTGATTCTGATGCTGATGCTGATTCGGATGTTGATTCTGATGCTGATGCTGATATTGATGCTGATGCCGATTCTGATGCTGACGCTGATGCTGATGCTGACACTGATGCTGACGCTGAAGCTGACGCTGATGCTGATGCTGATGCTGATTCTGATGCTGATTCCGATTGATGTTGATGCTGATGCTGATGCTGATGCTGATGCTGATGGTGATGCTGATGCTGATGCTGATGCTGATTCTGATGCTGATGCTGATGCTGATTCTGATGCTGATGCTGATGCTGATGGTGATGCTGATGCTGATGCTGATGCTGATGCGCTGATGCTGATTCTGATGCCGATTCTGATGCTGATGCCGATCCTGATGCTGATGCTGGTGCGGATTCGGATGCTGATGCTGATTCTGATGCTGATGCTGATGCTGATTCTGATGCTGATGCTGATGCTGATGTTGATGCTCTGGGGGGCTGTGAGGGAGAGGCGCCGCTGCTCTTGAGAAGACAAGGAGAAGAAATAAGGACACGGAAAAAGGGACGAGGAAAGGAGGAAAAAGGAAAAAGGGACGAGGCGAGAAGGGAAGGGCAAAGGCAACAACACCGAAATGTCAAGTCAACCAGGGAGAATGACAAGAGGGTGGGAGGAATAACACTTCTCTGAACCTCCACTCGCACTGAACAGCTCATTGAGGGAAAATCACTGTGAGTGCAGTACGAAGAGCAATCAGACCGTGTAGCAGATAGAGCAGCCAGCAGCAACAGACAGAAGGGAAGGAGAGAGCAGATGCAGTGAAATGGAGGAGTGAAAGAGAGAACGGGTGGAATCACATGCAAGGAGAGTGCGGGTACAGTTAAAGGGATGCATACAGTACCATAATGGCAGTAATGGCAACGGTGCCGAGGATTGGAGTTGACTGATTCTTACTGCCGAGCTGCTGCTCTGCTGCTGCTCTGTCGCCTGCACCCATTCACCGTGAGGATGCATGGAAGAGAAGGAAATGCCAAGAGATTGGCATCGGGCAGAGGGCAGAGGGCAGGGGATAGAGGACAGAGGGAAGGCAATGAAGTGGAAATGAGTGTCGCAGAAAGCGCAGCAAGGAATGGAGGAGCATTGGACGCAAAAACTCAGATATGGGAAGCAAGCAGGTCAAAGTGGCCAATTGAGCAGAAGCACTAGAGAGCAAGAGTGCGAAACTCGAAACTTGAGTGGTGGGAGAGGGGCGGAGGGGGAACGGGGAAGGCGCATGGTGACAGTGGCCCACGGCACTAGAGCAGCGAGCTGAGCCAGCGAGGGGGGACTGGGGGACGCACGCATGGCATGAATGCACTCCCTCTCCAATACTCTTTCCCACCACTCCCACTACACTGCACTCTACATGAGCTCTGCTGCCATAGCACCACGGACCACCACCACCATGCGCCAAGAAATTTGGGTGAGGGAGAGGCGCACCTGCTGGATGCGTCATGAAATTTGTCAAAGCGTAAAAGAGACAGCTGGGGATAGTGAAGGAGAAAGGGAGGGGAGGACGGGGGTGCGGGGGGGAGACTTAGCTACAGGAGAAGCGTGGACGCAGAAGTGAGTCGCCCACAGCAGCAGAAATCCTCCCGAGCTGCAGCAGCAAGCAGCAGCGTCCATCATCCACACACCATCAGACGAACATGGCGTGCGATTTTATCTTGTGCATACGCCGCAAACAGAAGGCCCCACTCTGTAAGTCGCACCCAGAGCGGGTGCACTCCCCCTGTTGAGAGGGCGGGGCGCCGCTGCTCTGGGGGGCTGTGAAGGAGAGGCGTCCCTGCTCTGGTGGGCTGTGAGGGAGAGGCGCCGCTGCTCTGGGGGGCTGTGAGGGAGAGGCGCCCCTGCTCTGGGGGGCTGTGAGGGAGAGGCGCCCCTGCTCTGGTGGCCTGTGAGGGAGAGGAGCCGCTGCTCTGGGAGGCTGTGAGGGAGAGGCGCCGCTGCTCTGGAAGGCTATGAGGGAGAGGCGCCCCTGCTCTGGGGGACTGTGAGGGAGAGGCACCGCTGCTCTGGGGGGTTGTGAGGGAGAGGCGCCCCTGCTCTGGGGGGCTGTGAGGGAGAGGCGCCGCTGCTCTGGGGGGCTATGAGGGAGAGGCGCCCCTGCTCTGGTGGGCTGTGAGGGAGAGGAGCCGCTGCTCTGGGAGGCTGTGAGCGAAAGGCGCCGCTGCTCTGGGCGGCTGTGAGGGAGAGGCGCCGCTGCTCTGGGGAGCTGTGAGGGAGAGGCGCCACTGCTTTGGGGGGGTGTGAAGGAGAGGCGCCCCTGCTCTGGGGGGCTGTGAGGAGGAGGCGCCGCTGCTCTGGGGGACTGTGAGGGAGAGGCGCCGCTGCTCTGGGGGGTTGTGAGGGAGAGGCGCCCCTGCTCTGGGGGGCTGTGAGGGAGAGGCGCCGCTGCTCTCGTGGGCTGTGAGGGAGAGGCGCCCCTGCTGTGCGCGGCTGTGAGGGAGAGGCGCCGCTGCTCTCGTGGGCTGTGAGGGAGAGGCGCCCCTGCTGTGCGCGGCTGTGAGGGAGAGGCGCCGCTGCCCTGGGGACCTGTGAGGGAGAGGCGCCGCTGCTCTGGGCGGCTGTGAGGGAGAGGCGCCGCTGCTCTGGGGAGCTGTGAGGGAGAGGCGCCACTGCTTTGGGGGGGTGTGAAGGAGAGGCGCCCCTGCTCTGGGGGGCTGTGAGGAGGAGGCGCCGCTGCTCTGGGGGACTGTGAGGGAGAGGCGCCGCTGCTCTGGGGGGTTGTGAGGGAGAGGCGCCCCTGCTCTGGGGGGCTGTGAGGGAGAGGCGCCGCTGCTCTGGGGGGCTGTGAGGGAGAGGCGCCCCTGCTGTGCGCGGCTGTGAGGGAGAGGCGCCGCTGCCCTGGGGACCTGTGAGGGAGAGGCGCCGCTGCTCTCGTGGGCTGTGAGGGAGAGGCGCCCCTGCTGTGCGCGGCTGTGAGGGAGAGGCGCCGTTGCTCTGGGGGGGTGTGAGGGAGAGGCGCCCCTGCTCTGGGGGCCTGTGAGGGAGAGGCGCCGCTGCTCTGGGGAGCTGTGAGGGAGAGGCGCCGCTGCTCTGGGGGGGTGTGAGGGAGAGGCGCCCCTGCTCTGGGGGGCTGTGAGGGAGAGGCGCCGCTGCTCTGGGCGGCTGTGAGGGAGAGGCGCCGCTGCTCTGGGGGGCTGTGAGGGAGAGGCGCGGTTGCTCTGGGGGGCTCTGAGGGAGAGGCGCCACTGCTCTGGTCTGGGGGGGTGTGAAGGAGAGGCGCCGCTGCTCTGGGCGGCTGTGAGGAGGAGGCGCCGCTGCTCTGGGGGGCTGTGAGGGAGAGGCGTCGCTGCTCTCGTGGGCTGTGAGGGAGAGGCGCCCCTGCTGTGCGCGGCTGTGAGGGAAAGGCGCCGCTGCTCTGGGGACCTGTGAGGGAGAGGCGCCGCTGCTCTGGGGGGCTGTGAGGGAGAGGCGCCCCTGCTGTGCGCGGCTGTGAGGGAGAGGCGCCGCTGCTCTTGTGGGCTGTGAGGGAGAGGCGCCCCTGCTGTGCGCGGCTGTGAGGGAAAGGCGCCGCTGCTCTGCGGACCTGTGAGTGAGAGGCGCCGCTGCTCTGGGGGGCTGTGAGGGAGAGGCGCCGTTGCTCTGGGGGGCTGTGAGGGAGAGGCGCCACTGCTCTGGGGGGGTGTGAAGGAGAGGCGCCCCTGCTCTGGGCGGCTGTGAGGAGGAGGCGCCGCTGCTCTGGGGGGCTGTGAGGGAGAGGCGCCGCTGCTCTCGTGGGCTGTGAGGGAGAGGCGCCCCTGCTGTGCGCGGCTGTGAGGGAGAGGCGCCGCTGCTCTCGTGGGCTGTGAGGGAAAGGCTCCCCTGCTGTGCGCGGCTGTGAGGGAAAGGCGCCGCTGCTCTGGGGACCTGTGAGGGAGAGGCGCCGCTGCTCTGGGGGGCTGTGAGGGAGAGGCGCCGCTGCTCTAGGGGGCTGTGAGGGAGAGGCGCCGCTGCTCTGGGCGACTGTGAGGGAGAGGCGCCGCTGCTCTGGGGGGCTGTGAGGGAGAGGCGCCGATGCTCTGGGAGCTGTGAGGGAGAGGCGCCGCTGCTCTGGGAGCTGTGAGGGAGAGGCACCCCTGCTGTGCGCGGCTGTGAGGGAGAGGCGCCGCTGCTCTGGGGGGCTGTGAGGGAGAGGCGCCGCTGCTCTGGGGGGCTGTGAGGGAGAGGCGCCACTGCTCTAGGGGGCTGTGAGGGAGAGGCGCCGCTGCTCTGGGGGCTGTGAGGGAGAGGCGCCGCTGCTCTGGGGGGGTGTGAGGGAGAGGCGCCCCTGCTCTGGGGGGCTGTGAGGGAGAGGCGTCCCTGCTCTGGGGGGCTGAGAGGGAGAGGCACCACTGCTCTGGGGGGCTTTGAGGGAGAGGCGCCGCTGCTCTGGGGGGCTGTGAGGGAGAGCCGCCGATACTCTGGGAGCTGTGAAGGAGAGGCGCCGCTGCTCTGGGGGCCTGTGAAGGAGAGGCGCCACTGCTCTGGGGGGGTATGAGGGAGAGGCGCCCCTGCTCTGCGGAGCTGTGAGGGAGAGGCGCCGCTGCTCTTGGGGGCTGTGAGGGAGAGGCGCCGCTGTTCTGGAGGGCTGTGAGGGAGAGGCGCCGCTGCTCTGGGGGGCTGTGAGGGAGAGGCGCCGCTGCTCTGGGGAGCTGTGAGGGAGAGGCGCCGCTGCTCTGGGGGGCTGTGAGGGAGAGGCGCCGCTGCTCTGGGAGGCTGTGAGGGAGAGGCGCCGCTGCTCTGGGGGACTGTGAGGGAGAGGCGCCGCTGCTCTGGGGGGGTGTGAGGGAGAGGCGCCCCTGCTCTGGGGAGCTGTGAGGGAGAGGCGTCCCTGCTCTGGGGGGCTGTGAGGGAGAGGCGCCACTGCTCTGGGGGCTTTTGAGAGAGGCGCCGCTGCTCTGGGGGGCTGTGAGGGAGAGGCGCCTGTTAGAATCTTAGAATAGAACGAGAATGAATGAACTAGCAGGAAGTTGGGTACAAGTAGGAAACCCTAAGTTTTGTGTACCCTCTAAGGCTAAACCCACTATAGCCTACACAATATAAACATACAATGTTTGACACACCCCCATAGGCGAAGTGGGGGACAACCAGAGGGTCACAAGACCAGTCAAAGCAAAGCAAGGCAAAACAAGCTCAGGGTGGATCTCAAGGATACCACACAAATTCCGAGCACAAGCAAGTGGTCACAAGACCAGTTCACATGCAGTTTCATAATATAACAAGAGGTACAGTGATCACAACCTAGCAAGTGAAAGCATGCAGGTATATATATAGAGATCACAGTACAAACAAAGTCACGAAGTAAGCAAGTGAGGTCCAGTAGGCACAAGGCCTAGAAGAGTACAAAAGCGCTGATGGTCACAAGGCTGAAGCGCCTTGGTGAACACGTCAGCAGTGTTGGCCTCAGTGGCCACGTAACGCAGACAAAGCTGACCACGCTGCTGCAGCTCACGAGCCAGAAAGTAGCGGAGAGCGATGTGCTTCGTTCTGTGCTCCAGTCTGTGTTCCTCACACAAGGCAATGGCAGCCTTGTTGTCGACGTACAGCACTGGAGGAGAACGAGGCCGCTCTCCCAAGTCGGTCAGCAGGTAGGTGAGCCAGCGTAGCTCCTGAGCAACCATGGCTGTGGCGTAGATCTCAGCCTCACAACTGGAGCTGAGAACTGAAGAAGAACGTGTAGAACGCCAAGAAACTGAACCGGAGCCAAGGCTGAAGGTGTAACCCTGAGACGACCGCTGAGTGGTCCGCCCAAGAAGCGTCTGAGTGTCCAGTGAGAACAACTCGGTCTCGCCCTCCAAGCACTAGCCCCATGCCCGACGTACTGCACAACACCCTCTTAGCGGCATCCATGTGCTCCTTCCGGTGACGGCCAGGAGCGACATAGCGTGCAAGGATGCTAAGAGGGTACGCAAGGTTAGGACGAGTGCAGGTCATCAGGTACATGAGGCAGCCCACAAGCTCTGGATACGGGCCACTCGGCTCTACGGACTCATCCGAAGGCAGAGCTGAGAGCGAGTGACCGGTAGGAAGAGGAGTGGACTGAGGCGAGGAGTACGTGAAGCCGAAGCGCTGAAGGACCTGCTGCACCATGTGTGACTGAGTCAAGGTAATGGTGCGCCGTGCTCTGTCCCAGGTGGTGGAACAGCGTCGACGTAGGTGCCTGTGGACTTCCAGGAAGCCATCTCTGCGTCCATGGCTGTCTGCCACTGAGAGGAGTAGGGACCCGCTATCGCCTCTGCGTAAGAGCGCGGGGTCGGGATGTCTGGTGCATCCGGGTCTCCCTCAGGGGCAACTAGCATGGACACGAGATGAGGTAAAGCAGCAGCAAAGCACTGGAACTCCTCCTGCCTGTCCTCAAGGACGTCCGTGCCAAGAGCACACTCACCCCCGACGGACGGAGGACAGACAGACTCAGACTCAGCAACTAGGCTAGCGGCGTAGTCGAGACGACAAGCGGCAGCAAAGTCAACTAACTCAGCAACGAGAGCAGACGCAGCAGAGGACTCAAAGGTAGGGTCAGTGACAACAGTAGCAAGGAGACGCGTGACAGTAGGACGGGCAGCACGAAGGGAGTCAGACTCCGGGTCAGGAAGCTCAGGAAGAGAGGACGCAGGAGGAGACGGCAGCAGGACACGCTGAGGAGCAGTGGAGGGACGCAGCAGCTCCAGCTCCAGGGTCCGCAGCACCAGCAGCAGCTCCAGCTCCAGGGTCCGCAGCACCAGCAGCAGCTCCAGCTCCAGGGTCCGCAGCACCAGCAGCAGCTCCAGCTCCAGGGTCCGCAGTACCAGCAGCAGCTCCAACCCCAGGGTCCGCAGTACCAGCAGCAGCTCCAGCGTCAGGGTCCGCAGCACCAGCAGCACCAGCTCCAGGGTCCGCAGCACTAGCAGCAGCTCCAACTCCAGGGTCCGCAGTACGAGTAGGGCTTCCAGCAGCAGCAGCAGCACCTCCAGCACCAGGGTCCGCGACACCAGGCGCTCCACTCCTAAGAGTGCAGCGCCGCTCGTACCACTCGCGGATCCGCTCAAGAGAGGGCAGCTCCCGCTGAGGAGGGGAGGCACCAGCACCAGTCGCAGCAGCACTCCTGGTCCCAGAGGCACCTCTCCGGAGGCTGCAGTACTCTGAGTACCACTCACGCAGCCGCTCCGAGGAGAGAGCTCCCCCAGGCGCAGGACTCTCAGGCTCAGCACCCCCAGACTCAGCACTCCCAGACCCAGAACTCTGCAGCTCAGCACCCCCAGGCACAGCACCCCCAGGCTCAGTACGTCCAGGCTCAGTACCCCCAGACTCCGCACCCCCAGGCTCCGCAACCGCAGGCTCCGCACCCCCAGGCTCAGCACCCCCAGGCTCCGCAACCGCAGGCTCCGCACCCCCAGGCTCAGCACCCCCAGGCTCCGCACCCCCAGCAGGACGAGAGTCAACAGCTACCTCAACAGGGTCAACCGGGTCTACCTGGGACACACCTGAGGGAGCGGCACCCTGAGGGGGGAGGGGGTCTACCACAGCAGCACCTGGTGCGAGGAAGAGAGGCGGGGGGGGGGAGTGGGGCAGTGCGGTAGGGGAAGAGGCGGTAGTAGGGGACGGACTCGTCAAAAGTGACGTCCTGAGAGGCAAGGACCCGGCGCGAGGTGGCGTGGTAAAACTGCCAACCAGACGCGTCAGGGACAAAGCCAAGGAAGACACAGGGAACAGCGCGGGTGGAGAGCTTGTCCGCGGAAGCGTCGCGGACAAAAGCTCGAGATCCCCAGACCCGGAAACGCGACGCATCGCCAACCTCCCCCGTCCACCGCAGCGTGGGCGAGGTCTCCGGCAAAGAGACACGGGGCCAGAGGTTGAGCTGATGCGCAGCGTACCGGACCGCAAACGGCCACAGGAAATGGGGGGCAGCCGCATGGATCAAGGAGGTACGGGCGACCTCCATGACCAGGCCAATGCGACGCTCCGCAACCCCATTCTGCTGTGGAGAGGCCGGAAGCGTGAACGACTGCTCAATGCCGTGCTCAGCACAGTAGGCTGCCAAGAGGTCGGAGGAGAACTCACCACCTCTGTCAGAGTGCAAGCGCAGGACAGGAAAGTCCGAGTGGAAACGCTCGCTGAGCTGGAGACGAGCTCTGCGGATCCAAGGGATCAAAACATCAGGGACTTCACCCTTGGTGCGCAAGGGGAAGACCGTGGTGTAGCGCGAGTAGTCGTCAACAACTATCAGGAAGTACCTCTCCTGACCCTGACCACGGACGCGGGCTGGGCCCCACACGTCCATGTGGAGCGTCTGCAAGGGAGCAGTCGTCGGGGGAAAGGAGGAGGAGTGAGGAGCGGCGCGCTGCCGCCCCTCGACACAGGGAAGACAGGGAGGAGCAGGCGAGGGAGGGAGAGGAGGGAGGACCCTGGGAAGACCAGAGACAAGGTACCTGGAGTGCATGGCCCGAAGGCGCTGCACAGACGGGTGGCCAAGGCGGTGGTGCCAGAGGACAGTCTCGTGCGCCAGAGAGCGACACGAGCAGGGGGCCGACAGCTGACCTGACGCAGACGCAGACGCAGACGCAGCGACCGCTACCTGAGGGGACTCAGTGGTCAGTGTGTACAGGTCCGACCCCGGCTGCCGAGTGAAGGTAGCCAAGTGGCGGCCCGTACGGGCACACGTGCAGTGCGTCACGCGCTCGTAGGCCGGGGTGAACTGGTGAACACCCGCGTCCTGGAGCGCACACCCAGCCACCAAGTTTGTAGAGAACGAGGGGAGGTGGAGACCGGACAGTGTGCCCGACGGGACCGCAGGACAAGGAAGGACAGTGGAGGAGGTCGCAATGACCGGACCCCCAGAGGGGTCAGCGAGGGAGACAGCAACTGGCCGAGCAAGCGGCTCAAGGGCAGTGCGGTCACGAAAGAAACAGCGAGAAGCACCGGAGTCCAGAGTGAAGGTGTGCAGTGCCTCAGTCGACTCAGTACCAGGGGGGGCAGACTCACTAGCACCTAGAGCAGCAGCCTCACCGGCACCTGGGGTAGCAGCTGCACTAGCACCTAGAGCGGCAGCCTCACTCACAGGACACGGCAGCTGCACCTGTCCATCACCAGAAGCTCCCGACCGACCCACTCCAGAGCGACTACCACTACGGCCACCCCGACAGCCCAAACTGGCGTACCACTCACGAAGCTGCTGGGGTGAAAGAGGACACTGCAGCTGCACCTGTCCACTACCAGAAGCTCCCGACCGACCCACTCCAGAGCGACTACCACTACGGCCACCCCGACAGCCCCAACTGGCGTACCACTCACGAAGCTGCTGGGGTGAAAGAGGACACTGCAGCTGCACCTGTCCACTACCAGAAGCTCCCGACCGACCCACTCCAGAGCGACTACCACTACGGTCACCCCGACAGCCCCAACTAGCGTACCACTCACGAAGCTGCTGGGGCGTGAGGGACTCACGCGCACGGCCCTGGAGCTGCATCTGGCCTCGCCAGGAGCAGCAGTAGCAGCAGTAGCGGCAGTAACAGCAGTAACAGCAGGAGCAGTACCAGTGGGAGTAGAAAAGGCAGTAGCAGCAGTAGCAGTGCGGGCAGGGCAATGCTCACCAGTGGTCGGCGTGGCAGGCGCAAGACGGTGGCGACCGCGGGGCCGCTACAACTGCAGGGCGGGGCCAGGCCGCAGCAGGGAGCTCCGCGGCAGCTGCTGCAGGGCGAGGCCGGGCCGCGACGGCAGTTGCTCCAGGTGCCTGGGGCGGCTGCTGCAGGTGCGGGCTGCTCCAGGGGCGGCTGCTGCAGGTGCAGGCTGCTCCAGGGGCGGCTGCTGCAGGTGCGGGCTGCTCCAGGGGCGGCTGCTGCAGTGGCGGGCGGCTCCAGGGGCGGCCGCTGCAGTGGCGGGCGGCTCCAGGGGCTGCTGCTGCAGTGGCGGGCGGCTCCAGGGGCTGCTGCTGCAGTTGCGGGCGGCTCCAGGGGCGGCTGCTACAGTGGCGGGCGGCTCCAGGGGCGGCTGCTGCAGTGGCGGGCGGCTCCAGGGGCTGCTGCTGCAGTGGCGGGCGGCTCCAGGGGCGGCTGCTGCAGTGGCGGGCGGCTCCAGGGGCTGCTGCTGCAGTGGCGGGCGGCTCCAGGGGCGGCTCCACGGGCAGGTGGCGACGCCGCGGGCAGGGCGACGCGGCGGGCAGGTGGCGACGCCGCGGGCAGGCGACGACGCCGCGGGCAGGCGACGACGCCGTGGGCAGGCGACGACGCCGCGGGCAGGGGCTGCGTCGCGGGCAGGCGACGACGCCGCGGGCAGGGGCTGCGTCGCGGGCAGGCGACGACGCCGCGGGCAGGCGACGACGACGCCGCGGACAGGGCGACGCGGCGGGCGGCGTGAGTCTGCAGAGGCGGCGCGCGGTCGGGCAGAGGCTGTGCGCGGGCCTGACGAGTCTGCAGGGGCGGCTCTCGGGCGTGACGGGCCTGCAGAGGCGGCTCGGGGGGGGCCTGACGGGTCTGCAGAGGCGGCTCGGGGGCCTGACGGACCTGCAGGGGCGGCTCGAGGGCGCACGAGGGCGCACGAAGGCGCACTAGCAGAGAAAGGCGCACGAGGGCGCACGTAGGGTAGGGCGCACGAGGGCGCACGTAGGGTAGGGCGCACGAGGGCGCTTCTAGCGGAATAGTGGGCCCATTGGAGAAAGCGGTCCTAGGTAGCAACCTAGGCTTCTGATACCATGTTAGAATCTTAGAATAGAACGAGAATGAATGAACTAGCAGGAAGTTGGGTACAAGTAGGAAACCCTAAGTTTTGTGTACCCTCTAAGGCTAAACCCACTATAGCCTACACAATATAAACATACAATGTTTGACAGCGCCGATGCTCTGGGGGGGTGCGAGGGAGAGGCGCCCCTGCTCTGGGGGACTGTGAGGGAGAGGCGCCACTGCTCTGGGGGGCTGTGAGGGAGAGGCGCCCCTGCTGTGCGCGGCTGTGAGGGAGAGGCGCCACTGCTCTCGGGGCTGTGAGGGAGAGGCGCCCCTGCTGTGCGCGGCTGTGAGGGAGAGGCGCCGCTGCTCTGGGGGGCTGTGAGGGAGAGGCGCCGCTGCTCTGGGGGACTGTGAGGGAGAGGCGCCGCTGCTCTGGGGGGGTGTGAGGGAGAGGCGCCCCTGCTCTGGGGGGCTGTGAGGGAGAGGCGTCCCTGCTCTGGGGGGCTGTGAGGGAGAGGCGCCACTGCTCTGGGGGGCTTTGAGGGAGAGGCGCCGCTGCTCTGGGGGGCTGTGAGGGAGAGGCGCCGATGCTCTGGGGGACTGTGAGGGAGAGGCGCCGCTGCTCTGGGGGGGTGTGAGGGAGAGGCGCCCCTGCTCTGGGGGGCTGTGAGGGAGAGGCGTCCCTGCTCTGGGGGGCTGTGAGGGAGAGGCGCCGCTGCTCTGGGGGGCTGTGAGGGAGAGGCGCCGCTGCTCTGGGGGACTGTGAGGGAGAGGCGCCGCTGCTCTGGGGGGCTGTGAGGGAGAGGCGCCGCTGCTCTGGGGGGGTGTGAGGGAGAGGCGCCGCTGTTTTGGGGGGCTGTGAGGGAGAGGCGCCGCTGCTCTGGGGAGCTGTGAGGGAGAGGCGCCGCTGCTCTGGGGGGCTGTGAGGGAGAGGCGCCGCTGCTCTGGGGGACTGTGAGGGAGAGGCGCCGCTGCTCTGGGGGGCTGTGAGGGAGAGGCGCCGCTGCTCTGGAAGGGTGTGAGGGAGAGGCGCCCCTGCTCTGGGGAGCTGTGAGGGAGAGGCGAAGCTGTTCTGGGGGGCTGTGAGGGAGAGGCGCCGCTGCTCTGGGGGGCTGTGAGGGAAAGGCGCCGCTGCTCTGGGGAGCTGTGAGGGAGAGGCGCCGCTGCTCTGGGGGGCTGTGAGGGAGAGGCGCCGCTGCTCTGGGGGACTGTGAGGGAGAGGCGCCGCTGCTCTGGGGGGGTGTGAGGGAGAGGCGCCCCTGCTCTGGGGAGCTGTGAGGGAGAGGCGTCCCTGCTCTGGGGGGCTGTGAGGGAGAGGCGCCACTGCTCTGGGGGCTTTTGAGAGAGGCGCCGCTGCTCTGGGGGGCTGTGAGGGAGAGGCGCCGATGCTCTGGGGGGGTGTGAGGGAGAGGCGCCCCTGCTCTGGGGGACTGTGAGGGAGAGGCGCCACTGCTCTGGGGGGCTGTGAGGGAGAGGCGCCCCTGCTGTGCGCGGCTGTGAGGGAGAGGCGCCGCTGCTCTCGTGGGCTGTGAGGGAGAGGCGCCCCTGCTGTGCGCGGCTGTGAGGGAGAGGCGCCGCTGCTCTGGGGGGCTGTGAGGGAGAGGCGCCGCTGCTCTGGGGGACTGTGAGGGAGAGGCGCCGCTGCTCTGGGGGGGTGTGAGGGAGAGGCGCCCCTGCTCTGGGGGGCTGTGAGGGAGAGGCGTCCCTGCTCTGGGGGGCTGTGAGGGAGAGGCGCCACTGCTCTGGGGGGCTTTGAGGGAGAGGCGCCGCTGCTCTGGGGGGCTGTGAGGGAGAGGCGCCGATGCTCTGGGAGCTGTGAGGGAGAGGCGCCGCTGCTCTAGGGGCCTGTGAGGGAGAGGCGCCGCTGCTCTGGGGGGCTGTGAGGGAGAGGCGCCGCTGCTCTGGGGAGCTGTGAGGGAGAGGCACCGCTGCTCTGGGGGGCTGTGAGGGAGAGGCGCCGCTGCTCTGGGGGGGTGTGAGGGAGAGGCGCCGCTGTTCTGGGGGGCTGTGAGGGAGAGGCGCCGCTGCTCTGGGGAGCTGTGAGGGAGAGGCGCCGCTGCTCCGGGGGGCTGTGAGGGAGAGGCGCCGCTGCTCTGGGGGACTGTGAGGGAGAGGCGCCGCTGCTCTGGGGAGCTGTGAGGGAGAGGCGCCGCTGCTCTGGGGGGCTGTGAGGGAGAGGCGCCGATGCTCTGGGAGCTGTGAGGGAGAGGCGCCGCTGCTCTAGCGGCCTGTGAGGGAGAGGCGCCGCTGCTCTGGGGGGCTGTGAGGGAGAGGCGCCGCTGCTCTGGGGAGCTGTGAGGGAGAGGCACCGCTGCTCTGGGGGGCTGTGAGGGAGAGGCGCCGCTGCTCTGGGGGGATGTGAGGGAGAGGCGCCGCTGTTCGGGGGGGCTGTGAGGGAGAGGCGCCGCTGCTCTGGGGGGCTGTGAGGGAGAGGCGCCGCTGCTCTGGAAGGGTGTGAGGGAGAGGCGCCGCTGCTCTGGAAGGGTGTGAGGGAGAGGCGCCCCTGCTCTGGGGAGCTGTGAGGGAGAGGCGCCGCTGCTCTGGGGGGCTGTGAGGGAGAGGCGCCGATACTCTGGGAGCTGTGAGGGAGAGGCGCCGCTGCTCTGGGGGGCTGTGAGGGAGAGGCGCCGCTGCTCTGGAAGGGTGTGAGGGAGAGGCGCCCCTGCTCTGGGGAGCTGTGAGGGAGAGGCGCCGCTGCTCTGGGGGGCTGTGAGGGAGAGGCGCCGCTGCTCTGGGGGACTGTGAGGGAGAGGCGCCGCTGCTCTGGGGGGGTGTGAGGGAGAGGCGCCCCTGCTCTGGGGAGATGTGAGGGAGAGGCGTCCCCGCTCTGGGGGGCTGTGAGGGAGAGGCGCCACTGCTCTGGGGGCTTTTGAGAGAGGCGCCGCTGCTCTGGGGGGCTGTGAGGGAGAGGCGCCGATGCTCTGGGGGGGTGTGAGGGAGAGGCGCCCCTGCTCTGGGGGACTGTGAGGGAGAGGCGCCCCTGCTGTGCGCGGCTGTGAGGGAGAGGCGCCGCTGCTCTCGTGGGCTGTGAGGGAGAGGCGCCGCTGCTGTGCGCGGCTGTGAGGGAGAGGCGCCGCTGCTCTGGGGGGCTGTGAGGGAGAGGCGCCGCTGCTCTGGGGGACTGTGAGGGAGAGGCGCCGCTGCTCTGGGGGGGTGTGAGGGAGAGGCGCCCATGCTCTGGGGGGCTGTGAGGGAGAGGCGTCCCTGCTCTGGGGGGCTGTGAGGGAGAGGCGCCACTGCTCTGGGGGGCTTTGAGGGAGAGGCGCCGCTGCTCTGGGGGGCTGTGAGGGAGAGGCGCCGATGCTCTGGGAGCTGTGAGGGAGAGGCGCCGCTGCTCTGGGGGGCTGTGAGGGAGAGGCGCCGCTGCTCTGGGGGACTGTGAGGGAGAGGCGCCGCTGCTCTGGGGGGGTGTGAGGGAGAGGCGCCCCTGCTCTGGGGGGCTGTGAGGGAGAGGCGTCCCTGCTCTGGGGGGCTGTGAGGGAGAGGCGCCACTGCTCTGGGGGGCTTTGAGGGAGAGGCGCCGCTGCTCTGGGGGGCTGTGAGGGAGAGGCGCCGATGCTCTGGGAGCTGTGAGGGAGAGGCGCCGCTGCTCTAGGGGCCTGTGAGGGAGAGGCGCCGCTGCTCTGGGGGGCTGTGAGGGAGAGGCGCCGCTGCTCTGGGGAGCTGTGAGGGAGAGGCACCGCTGCTCTGGGGGGCTGTGAGGGAGAGGCGCCGCTGCTCTGGGGGGGTGTGAGGGAGAGGCGCCGCTGTTCTGGGGGGCTGTGAGGGAGAGGCGCCGCTGCTCTGGGGAGCTGTGAGGGAGAGGCGCCGCTGCTCTGGGGGGCTGTGAGGGAGAGGCGCCGCTGCTCTGGGGGACTGTGAGGGAGAGGCGCCGCTGCTCTGGGGAGCTGTGAGGGAGAGGCGCCGCTGCTCTGGGGGGCTGTGAGGGAGAGGCGCCGATGCTCTGGGAGCTGTGAGGGAGAGGCGCCGCTGCTCTAGCGGCCTGTGAGGGAGAGGCGCCGCTGCTCTGGGGGGCTGTGAGGGAGAGGCGCCGCTGCTCTGGGGAGCTGTGAGGGAGAGGCACCGCTGCTCTGGGGGGCTGTGAGGGAGAGGCGCCGCTGCTCTGGGGGGATGTGAGGGAGAGGCGCCGCTGTTCGGGGGGGCTGTGAGGGAGAGGCGCCGCTGCTCTGGGGGGCTGTGAGGGAGAGGCGCCGCTGCTCTGGAAGGGTGTGAGGGAGAGGCGCCGCTGCTCTGGAAGGGTGTGAGGGAGAGGCGCCCCTGCTCTGGGGAGCTGTGAGGGAGAGGCGCCGCTGCTCTGGGGGGCTGTGAGGGAGAGGCGCCGATACTCTGGGAGCTGTGAGGGAGAGGCGCCGCTGCTCTGGGGGGCTGTGAGGGAGAGGCGCCGCTGCTCTGGAAGGGTGTGAGGGAGAGGCGCCCCTGCTCTGGGGAGCTGTGAGGGAGAGGCGCCGCTGCTCTGGGGGGCTGTGAGGGAGAGGCGCCGCTGCTCTGGGGGACTGTGAGGGAGAGGCGCCGCTGCTCTGGGGGGGTGTGAGGGAGAGGCGCCCCTGCTCTGGGGAGATGTGAGGGAGAGGCGTCCCCGCTCTGGGGGGCTGTGAGGGAGAGGCGCCACTGCTCTGGGGGCTTTTGAGAGAGGCGCCGCTGCTCTGGGGGGCTGTGAGGGAGAGGCGCCGATGCTCTGGGGGGGTGTGAGGGAGAGGCGCCCCTGCTCTGGGGGACTGTGAGGGAGAGGCGCCCCTGCTGTGCGCGGCTGTGAGGGAGAGGCGCCGCTGCTCTCGTGGGCTGTGAGGGAGAGGCGCCGCTGCTGTGCGCGGCTGTGAGGGAGAGGCGCCGCTGCTCTGGGGGGCTGTGAGGGAGAGGCGCCGCTGCTCTGGGGGACTGTGAGGGAGAGGCGCCGCTGCTCTGGGGGGGTGTGAGGGAGAGGCGCCCCTGCTCTGGGGGGCTGTGAGGGAGAGGCGTCCCTGCTCTGGGGGGCTGTGAGGGAGAGGCGCCACTGCTCTGGGGGGCTTTGAGGGAGAGGCGCCGCTGCTCTGGGGGGCTGTGAGGGAGAGGCGCCGATGCTCTGGGAGCTGTGAGGGAGAGGCGCCGCTGCTCTAGGGGCCTGTGAGGGAGAGGCGCCGCTGCTCTGGGGGGCTGTGAGGGAGAGGCGCCGCTGCTCTGGGGAGCTGTGAGGGAGAGGCGCCGCTGCTCTGGGGGGCTGTGAGGGAGAGGCGCCGCTGCTCTGGGGGGGTGTGAGGGAGAGGCGCCGCTGTTCTGGGGGGCTGTGAGGGAGAGGCGCCGCTGCTCTGGGGAGCTGTGAGGGAGAGGCGCCGCTGCTCTGGGGGGCTGTGAGGGAGAGGCGCCGCTGCTCTGGGGGACTGTGAGGGAGAGGCGCCGCTGCTCTGGGGGGCTGTGAGGGAGAGGCGCCGCTGCTCTGGAAGGGTGTGAGGGAGAGGCGCCCCTGCTCTGGGGAGCTGTGAGGGAGAGGCGCCGCTGCTCTGGGGGGCTGTGAGGGAGAGGCGCCGCTGTTCTGGGGGGCTGTGAGGGAGAGGCGCCGCTGCTCTGGGGGGCTGTAAGGGAAAGGCGCCGCTGCTCTGGGGAGCTGTGAGGGAGAGGCGCCACTGCTCTGGGGGGCTGTGAGGGAGAGGCGCCGCTGCTCTGGGGGACTGTGAGGGAGAGGCGCCGCTGCTCTGGGGGGTTGTGAGGGAGAGGCGCCCCTGCTCTGGGGGGCCGTGAGGGAGAGGCGTCCCTGCTCTGGGGGGCTGTGAGGGAGAGGCGCCGCTGCTCTAGGGGCCTGTGAGGGAGAGGCGCCGCTGCTCTGGGGGGCTGTGAGGGAGAGGCGCCGCTGCTCTGGGGAGCTGTGAGGGAGAGGCGCCGCTGCTCTGGGGGGCTGTGAGGGAGAGGCGCCGCTGCTCTGGGGGGCTGTGAGGGAGAGGCGCCGCTGTTCTGGGGGGCTGTGAGGGAGAGGCGCCGCTGCTCTGGGGAGCTGTGAGGGAGAGGCGCCGCTGCTCTGGGGGGCTGTGAGGGAGAGGCGCCGATGCTCTGGGGGGGTGTGAGGGAGAGGCGCCCCTGCTCTGGGGGACTGTGAGGGAGAGGCGCCACTGCTCTGGGGGGCTGTGAGGGAGAGGCGCCGCTGCTCTGGGGGGCTGTGAGGGAGAGGCGCCGCTGCTCTGGGGGGCTGTGAGGGAGAGGCGCCGCTGCTCTGGGGGGCTGTGAGGGAGAGGCGCCGCTGTTCTGGGGGGCTGTGAGGGAGAGGCGCCGCTGCTCTGAGGGGTTGTGAGGAGGAGGCGCCGCTGCTCTGGGGGATTGTGAGGGGGAGAAGACAAGGAGAAGACATAAGGACAAGGGAAAAGGGACGAGGAAAGGGGGGAAATGAATAAGGGACAAGGCGAGAAGGGAAGGGCAAAGGCAACAACGCGGATAGGGTTGGGCATTTTACCTGGACGGGTCGGGTGACCCGACTTGACTTTTAAGTCGGGTCGGGTTCTTAAATTTGAAGTGACTACCCGGGCGGGTCGGATAGTGTATACTTGCTCGGGTATTTTATTACCCGGTACCCGACCCGGGTGTCCAATGTCGAGTATAAGAAACCCGACAATTGTAATTTTAAAGCAGGTAAAGACATAAACATAGGAATTACAAAACATAATCCATAACGGGTATACCCGACCCGACCTCGGGTTCTAAATACCCGAGGTGTACAAGGCGGGTCGGGGATACACCCTGACCCTATATATCCGAGGTCGGGTATACCCGCCCCGACCCGACTTCGCCCTCGGGCAGCCCCAAACGGGTCGGGTCGGGTCGGGTCGGGCCAATGCCCATGCCTAAACGTGGAAATGACAAGTCAACCAGGGAAAATGACAAGAGCGTGGGAGGAATAGCACTTCCCTGAACCTCCACTCGCACTGAACAGCTCACTAAACCACCTTATTGAGGGAAAATCACTGTGAGTGCAGTACGAAGAGCAATCAGGCCGTGTAGAAGGTAGAGCAGCCAGCAGCAATAGACAGAAGGGAATGAGAGAGCAGATGCAGTAAAATGGAGGCGTGAAAGTTCGAGCGGGTGGAATCACATGCAAGGAGAGTGCGGGTACAGTTAAAGGGATGCATACCGTACCATAATGGCAGTGATGGCTACGGAGCCGAGGACTGGAGTTGACTGGCGTTGACTGATGCTGACTGCCTTGCTGCTGCTCTGCCGCCTGCAGCCCTTCGATTGATGGGGGGAAAGGCACGACGAGAAGGGAGATGCGAAGAGACTGGCAGAGGGCAGAGGGCAGAAGGCAAGCAATGAACTCGGAATGAATGCAACAGAAAGCTCAGCAAGGAATGGAGTAGATTTGGAGGCAAGAACTGAAAGCAGGTCAAAGTGGCCAATCGAGCAGAAGCAGTGGAGAGCAAGAGCGAGAAACTTGAAACTCGAGTGGTGGGAAACAGAACGTCCCACGCACTGATGGTGCTCCTTGAATGCTTCTCTGCAAGTAAAATAAAGGAGAGAACAACGCAGAGTGAAGGTAAGATGTTGGTTGAGGTGTTGCAGACGCGTTGGGAGATCGACAGCAAGGCAGAATGCAAAAACAGACAGACCGGGAATGAAGCAGAACTGGAGGAGGGCAGATTGCAAGGCAAAGGCACGAGCTTGAGGACACGACAAGAAACGTAAGTTCGGAGGAAAGAGAAGGATGGAAGGAGCAGGAGGGAGGCTACTAGCAGGGGTTCTGTCATGCGGGTTCTGTCGTGCGAGTTCAGACGTGCGAGTTCTTACGTACCATAACGGCAGCAATGGCATGGGCGTGGGTTTCGAGGACTGGCATTGACTGGCGTTGACTGCCATGCTGCTGCAGCCAGTGCTGTGCGGCTCTGCCCCCTGCACTCCGTTCGCCCTGAGGCCAGAGGGGGACAAGGCACAGGGAAAGGGAGATGCAAAGGAAAAGGATCAGCCTCGGAACTTGAAATGAATGGGAGCAGCAAGAACGTCAAGGTGGCAATAGAGCAGAAGCAGTGAAGAGGGAGCACTGGGAAACTTGAAAATGGAGCACAGCGAAAAAGGAGTGGTTGAATCATGGTGGGAGGGGGAACGGGGAAGGCGCATGGAGACAGTGGCCCGCGGCACTAGAGCAGCGAGCTGAGCCAGCGAGGGGGGACTGGGGGACGCACGCATGGCATGAATGCACTCCCTCTCCACTACTCTATCCCACCACTCCCACTACACTGCACTCTACATGAGCTCTGCTGCCATAGCACCACGGACCACCACCACCATGCGCCAAGGGTCATAATTTGGCAGAGTGAAAGAGAGAGACGGGGGTAGAGAAGGAGAAAGGGAGGGGAGACTTAGCTAGAGGAGTAGCGTGGACGCAGAAAGTGAGTCGTCCAGAGGAGCACTAATCTTCCCAGGTGACAGCAGCAAGCAGCAGCGTCCCTCGCAGCTCCCCACCATCAGATGAGCATGGCGTGCCATTGGTTGGCTGATGTCTAGTGCACACGGCCGCAAACAGAAGGCCCCACTCTGTAGGTCGCCACACACCGATGGTGGTGCTGCTTAGTGTGCTTCTCTGCAAGCAAAAAGGAGGAGACAATCCTAATGTGACGGCGAGTTGTTGGGTGGGGCTTTAAAAGGTCGTGGAGAAATCCAGAAGCCAGAATGCAAAGACAGAAGGACAAGGGACGAGGCAAAAAGAACGAGGACACAAGGGAAAGGCAATCGCAACAGCATGACAACGACATGAAAATTAGAGAAACTTACAGGAGGTAAGGAGAAGCACTTCCCTGATCATCCAGTCCCACTCCCCCCCACTCCCCCTCCGCCCAAGAGCGCATGCGGTGGTGGGCAGCGGTCAGCAGGGCACGCAGTGAGTTCTGACCAATAGTCATCCCACTGCTACCCGTCCATGCGCCTCCTCCCTCTGCTGCCTCCCCTAGGAACAGCAAGGCCCGTGCAGCAATGGAGCCACCACGCCCTCTGCACCGCAAGAGACCACACACAGTGAGTGCACCACGGAAAACAATCAGGCTGTGCAGCGGACAGAGCAGCCAGCAGCAATAGACAGAAGCAAAGGAGAGAGCCGACGAAGTGAAATGGAGGAGTGGAGGATAGAACGGGTGAAATCAAATGGTGGAGCGAAAAAAGAGTGCGGGTGCAGGTAAAGGGATGCATACCATACCACGATGGCAGTGAGGTCACGGGTGTGGGTGCTGAGGACTGGTAGTGACTGGCGTTGACTGAGGCTGACTTAGACTGACTGATGTTGACTGACTGCTGCATCCACTGCTCTGCTGCTCTACCGCTGTCACTCCATTCGCCCTTAGACCAGAGGACGCATGGGGGAGAAGGAGATGCGAGGAGATTGGGCTCAAACAGAGGGCAGGCAACGAACTCAGAATAAATGAAGCAACAAGCATAACGTGGATGCGCATGTGTATTACAGCGAGAATCGAGTGATGGGAGGGGGAACAGGGAAGGCGCATGGTGACAGTGGCCCACGGCACTAGAGCAGCGAGCTGAGCCAGCGAGGGGGACTGGGGTAGAGAGGGACGCGCGCTTGGCATGAATGCACTCCCTTTCCACTACTCTATCCCACCGCTCTCACTACACTGCACTCTACATGAGCTCTGCTGCCATAGCACCACGGACCACCACCACCATGCGCCAAGAGACGGATGCGCCTTGAGATTTGCCAACAGTAAAATTGACGAATGGGGGGCGGGGCGGAGAGGAAACTTAGCTAAGAAGAAGCGTAGAGGCTAAAAGGCAGCAGCGGCAAGGAAGCCACACCGCGCATCGTTGCATGCAGCTCGTCGCCGTTCCGCACACCGTCGCATGCAGCTCGTCGCCGTTCCGCACACCGTCGCATGCAGCTCGTCGCCGTTCCGCACACCGTCGCATGCAGCTCGTCGCGGTTCCGCACACCGTCGCATACAGCACGTCGCCGTTCCGCACACCGTCGCATGCAGCTCGTCGCCGTTCCGCACACCGTCGCATGCAGCTCGTCGCCGTTCCGCAGACCGTCGCATTCAGCTCGTCGCCGTTCCGCACACCGTCGCATGCAGCTCGTCGCCGTTCCGCACACCGTCGCATGCAGCTCGTCGCCGTTCCGCACACCGTCGCATGCAGCTCGTCGCCGTTCCGCACACCGCCGCATGCAGCTCGTCGCCGTTCCGCACACCGTCGCATGCAGCTCGTCGCGGTTACGCACACCGTCGCACACAGCTCGTCGCCGTTTCGCACACCGTCGCATGCAGCTCGTCGCCGTTCCGCACACCGTCGCATGCAGCTCGTCGCGGTTCCGCACACAGTCGCATACAGCTCGTCGCGGTTCCGCACACCGTCGCTTGCAGCTCGTCGCCGTTCCTCACACGGTCGCATACAGCTCGTCGCGCCGTGCAGTGTCACGCGCGGCAAGTCGCCACTCTGCAGCAACTTGCCATTCCGCACGCCGTCGCGCAGTAAGTCGCCATTCCGCACAACGTCGCACGCAGCTCATCGCACTCCGCACACCGTCGCGTCGCCATATTCTGCATATCGTCGCAACCAGCTTGTCGCCAATCCGCACACCGTCGCACGCCGTCGGTCGCCTTCATCCGCATGTCATCGCATGCGTAAGTCGCCAATATCCGCGATGTACACGCATAGTCGTCAGCGTTGGTGCTCCTCATCACCAGTGCCAAGCACGGCGTGACAGCAACTCACTATTCAGACTTCGCCACCCCTCCTCACCCGCATGATGTCTATAGTGTACTGTTCGCTGCTCGCCGCTCGCCGCTCGCACGACGCTCAACGTTCAAATGAGTCGCCAATCGACAAGTGCCGCTCGCCGATCAGATCGTTGGACATTGGTCGTTCGGCAGTTCGGCAGTCGTCACCCACTCAACGAGATTCGAAATCCCCACCGCCATTCGCCGATCGTCGCACGTTGCTACCCACCAACAAGGCTGTTCGATGCCAACCGTTCGCTGCTCAATGTGTCGCCGTGAGTCAGCGTGACGCCGGTCGCCTTGCTACTAGAGATCCACAGGCTGAACCATCAGTGAGCAGCAACGTCATCGCTTGTCATGGATCACTCTTGCAAGCGACGACAGCTACGAAGCTCAGCAGATCAGCGACGGTCGCTATGGAGCTTAGTGGATCAGCGACGGTCGCGATGGACATTAGCGGATCAGCGACTCGCTATCATGGAGCTTAGCGGGTCATCGACGGTTGCTATGGAGCTTAGCGGGTCAGCGACGGTTGCTACGGAGCTTACCAGAGCAGCGACAATCCATGCTGCTGAGCAGCGACGGTGGCTACGGAGCTTAGCGGATCAGCGACGTTAGCTTTGGAGCTAAAATGGGTACT